TTGCAACAATCCCTTGTACTACCTCGACACCTTATATTTCTACATAACCTAGCCTTGGTGATAGGACCAAATCGCTATCTGCCCTCCGGCTCCTCTTCCTCTCTACATTCCTCTATTTATCTTCCAACATACTACAGTACGCCTGCGCCCTTGCTCCTCATGCCTAGCCTGTGAACAGGCAATGCCTCGTCAGGGAATGTGTCGTCACAATGCGTCGTCAGGGGGTAGGCGTCATCAGGGGGCAATGCGTCGTCAGGGAATGTGTCGTCACAATGCGTCGTCAGGGGGTAATGCGTCCTCAGAGGGCAATGCGTCGTCAGGGAATGTGTCGTCAGAATGCATTGTCAAGGGGGCCGGGGGTCATCGCCAATGTGTCGTCACAATGTGTCGTCAGCGTCAGCTGCAAAAGTCATACCCAAGCTGCGGGCGCCCTGTATAAAAAAATATATATATAAATATAGATAATTCTATATATCGTTGAAGTTTGCTCATCAGCTTTCCTTACGATTCGATTTGACGCTATGTGAGGCCTGATGAGTGATGAGAATCGTTCCACTTTTTTTTGCTTCAAATTCGTCTCCAAGACTCATGGCAAACCACAGTTTTATTAAAAACAAATCCGTCCCTGAAGCGGAACCATTGCACATCTTAAGCATTTGCACAATTTTTCTTGACCCAAAGGGTGTCCTGTTCTTTGTGTGGATTTGATCAACTGAACATGTTTTCTTCTTTTCAGAGTGTAGTTTCTTGATGGTTTCCATCGTAGGAACTGATGGAGATGAGTTGATCTTTTACCAATGAAAACCGCGGGGAAGTGCCGTATGTGGTGTGACATGCTGTGACTTTGGCCTTAGCCCTTATGTATTTCCGTAGGATTCAACAACTTGTTCTAAGGGATGAACGATGATTCAGGTACTTGCAGAATTGTGCAAGTCAGTACTTGGGATGATAATGCAGCCACAAAATGGGATCCAAATTACGGGACTGGTGAACCAGGGGTACGAAACTGTGCAGAAACACTTGCCAACTGCAATGATTTGGGGAGATTACCGACATCTTGGAGTCTCTGCAGCAAACGTTTCTACCCGGCTTTGCTGCGCCGGCGCAGCCGAAAGTGTAGCCGGCAGGTGCGTTGCTGGGAAGTGGGCCTGCAACAGTGGACATCTTCTGGAACCGATTTGAGGAAAACAGAACATTTGAATGAACGTTTGCTTGGATGTACATCGCAATTATAAACCGATTATATAGGTTATATGTGCATTGCTGCACATATATATATATATATTACATATGCGTATGCGTATATAATTATATGGCTACATAAATGTGTGCCATATATGGGCTCTGATTCTCTTACTAACTGGGATGCACGCGGAAGTATATCACATGGCTCAGTTTTGTGCGGACCACAATTTGCAGCTGAGTCAAATTTTGATCCGCTCAAAACCCTACATAGGGTGTTTTTGAATTGGAAATTAGTCATTTCTGGCGGTTGACAATCTGATTTCTTAAGCAGTGGCACATTTCCCTATTTTGAGTGTTGTCCAGTACATAACTACCATATCATGGTGATGACATAACACTTCACCCCTCAAAATATTGGAAACACCTGTGACCCGCTGAGTCCTTGTAGCAACCATGCGTGTTGCGGTAAAAAGGGAATATACTGTGCTCTATTTCATTTTGTTTGGAACGGAACTCACTGGCTTTATCGCGATGACGTAACAGATGTTTCTGGGTCTGAAAATGCAGCAGACCACACAATCAGAATTTCATGGGAAATATATGGAAACTACCAGGATTTTTGGGTGGAAAACATTGGAAAAGACATGAGTTCGATTCTTCATTCTCGGTTGGTTAAAGTTGGGGTTTCATCCAACTGGTTGGTCCAATGTTTGGTCCCAAATAACTGCAAGACTCTCGGTTTTTTCTATCTTCAATGGATTGGTTTAAGGGAAAATCTACACCGGAAACCATAGATTTTCCCATTAAGTATAAGGTTTTCCTGTAAATTTTCCCCTTAACCAATTCATTGATATCTAAAACCCACAAGGTTTTTGAGGTTGCTCAACAACACCTCCTATGGATTTGACTGAAAATGGGGTATCTCGAGTCCACTCGTTGATGATGATATTCGCCATTAAGAGGTGCCACAGAATTGAACCCGTTTTCAAACAAACCCAAACCATATTAATGTTCATACATACCATCATACTCCCATTGTATCCTATAATATGTTTGGCGCAAGAAACCTTCTCGGTTATGTCATGTCCCACTATTTGTTGGCCATAAATTCCCATCATATACCTATATTATATTCACATTGAGTCCCCATTATATCCTATTAAATCCCATCAAACCCTTGATTTGTGGTTTGGATACCCGTTATGTCCCCATTCTATGTTTATTATATCCTTATTATATCCCATTATATCCCTAGTGCATCCCTATGATATTATATCCCATATAATATCCCTATTACTTCCCTATTATGCCCCAGCATATCAGGCTCCATTTTGTGCTTATTATATCCTTATATTTCCATATATTTCCATATATTTCCATATGTTTCCATATATATTTTCGATATATTTCCATATATATTTTCGATATATTTCCATATATTTCCATATATTTTCGGTATATTTCCATATATTTCCATATATTTCCATATATTTTCGATATATTTCCATATATTTCCATATATATTTCCATATATATGTTCGATATATTTCCATATATTTCCATATATTTTCGATATATTTCCATATATTTCCATATATTTTCGATATATTTCCATATATTTCCATAATTTTCCATATATTTCCATATATTTTCGATATATTTCCATATATTTTCGGTTTATTTCCATATATATTTTCGATATATTTCCATATATTTCCATATATTTTCGATATATTTTCGATATATTTCCATATATTTCCATAATATATATATATATTTTTCGATATATTTCCATATAATTTCGATATATTTCCATACATTTCCATATATATATTTTCGATATATTTCCATATATTTTCGATATATTTCCATATATTTTCGATATATTTCCATATATTTCCATATATTTTCGATATATTTCCATATATATTTTCGATATATTTCGATATATTTCCATATATTTTCGATATATTTTCGATATATTTCCATATATTTCCATAATATATATATATTTTCGATCTATTTCCATATATTTTCGATATATTTCCATATGATATTTTCGATATATTTCCATATATTTCCATATATTTTCGATATATTTTCGATATATTTCCATATATTTCCATAATATATATATATATATTTCGATATATTTCCATATAATTTCGATATATTTCCATATATTTCCATATAATATATATATATTTTCGATATATTTCGATATATTTCCATATATTTCCATATATATTTTCGATATATTTCCATATATTTCCATATCCATATATATTTCCAAATATATTTTCGATATATTTCCATATATTTTCATATATTTCCATATATTTCCATATATTTCCATATATTTTCGATATATTTCCATATTTCCATATATTTCCATATATTTTCGATATATTTCCATATATTTCCATATATTTCCATATATATATATATTTCATATTTTCGATATATTTCCATATATTTTCGATATATTTTCGATATATTTTCGATATATTTTCGATATATTTCCATATATATATATTCGATATATTTCCACATATTTTCGATATATTTCCCATATTTACATATATAATTTCATATATTTCGATATATTTTCGATATATTTCCATATATTTCCATATATATTTTCGATATATTTCCATATATATTTTCGATATATTCCCGTATATTTCGATATATTTCCATATATATATATATTTTCGATATATTTTCGATGTATTTCCATATATTTCCATATATCTTTTCGATATATTTCCATATATATTTCGATATATTTCCATATATTTCCATATATATTTTCGATATATTTCCGTATATTTGGATATATTTCCATATATTTCCATAATATATATATATATATATTTTTTTTCGATATATTTCCATATATTTTCGATATATTTCCATTATATTTCCATATATTTCCATATATTTCCATATATATATATATATCTATTCAACATATATTTCATATATTTCCATATATTTTCGATATATTTCCTTATTTTTCGATATATTCCATATATTTCCGATATATTTCCATATATTTTCGATATATTTCCATATATTTTCGATATATTTCCATATATTTCCATATATTTTCGATATATTTCCATATATTTTCGATATATTTCCATATATTTCCATATATTTTCGATATATTTCCATATATTTTCGATATATTTCCATATATATTTTCGATATATTTCCATATATTTCCTTATATTTCCATATATTTCCATATATTTCCATATATTTTCGATATATTTCCATATATTTCCATATATTTTCGATATATTTCCATATATTTTCGATATATTTCCATATATTTTTGATATATTTCAATATATTTCCATATATTTCCATATATTTTCGATATATTTCCATATATTTTCGATATATTTCCATATATTTCCATATATTTTCGATATATTTCCATATATTTTCGATATATTTCTATATGTTATTTTCGATATATTTCCATATATTTCCATATATTTTCGATATATTTCAATATATTTCCATATATTTCCATATATTTTCGATATATTTCCATATATTTTCGATATATTTCCATATATTTCCATATATTTTCGATATATTTCCATATATTTTCGATATATTTCTATATGTTATTTTCGATATATTTCCATATATTTCCATATATTTTCGATATATTTCCATATATTTTCGATATATTTCCATATGGTATTTTCGATATATTTCCATATATTTTCGATATATTTCCATATGGTATTTTCCAATGGACAAAGCCAGTGATTTGACCCCTCTCAGATGATCAGGTTGACCCTGGGTCCATGCCGCGCGATGGCGAGGGTATGCGGGCCACCGAAATTAGCTTCCTGCAGGACTTGGTGTCATAGGGGTACAACGGGAATGATTGAAGGGAATATGGAACCATGGCATTCATGGGATATCATGGGAATATGGAGAATATCCAAACATGAATTCTTTCCACCATGAAAAAATTGGAAAATATTCAATATTCATGGTTGAATATGGCAATCATAGGGAATAATTGATGGAGTATTCATGGAATATGATGGAATTTTCAAAGGAATATTCATGGATGCCCCCTTTGGCAATCAAATATGGCAGCTGGGAAATCCCCCTGGCCTAGCCATGGAGGTTTAGTTCGCTGGGAAAATCATCGAACTACAATGAGAATATACTGCGATTGTTTGTCATGTTCATTGTTTATTCTCTGAAGATATCACTTCAGATTTTTCACACTCCCCAGAAACGGTGGATGTAGCGGATAAGGACCCAAAAAAATGGGATGGAACGGGCTGTTTAATATGAGGGGGGTGGGATTAAAGATTCACAAGGTGATGCACCAGTGTCGGTGGCTAAGTTAGCTAAGTAGTTCCCCCATCAGACTAGTTCTGTATGGTTCGATCTATCCTAAATCTAATCGTTTGCCTCGTGAACATTTTTCGAACCTACCGATCTTTTTTTTGAGCCAACACTCCATACAGGTGGGAGTTGACTCAAGCGGCTCAAGCGTCTCCGCCCTACAAGTGATCTGATATGATCTGATGCTACGATGAAGTGAAGCAACACATAGAAATATGGGGAACAAGCCAATAATTAGCCTCTGGTCATCAAAACTGGCTGGAACATCCTTCGATGTTTTCTTCCATTGAAATGCTCAATGGCAAGTTTCCAATTGCTGTGTTTGAGTACCGGTGGGTAAACATCGGGGATTTTGCTAGTATTGAAGCATTTGCTGATTTGAACTTCAAGAATTGAAAGCAGTGATCATGACCAGAAATGACAATTGGTGCATCCCACTTTGTAACTGGTTGATAATAAGTCAGTTGACTTGGGATATTTTGTATATACATACATAATCATCTATATATATATATATACATATACACACATATATATATATATGTATAAGTAATATACATATCAACAATTGGGCGAAGGAAAATTCTTGTGAACCACCTACCATTTCAGTGTCCTGCACATCGAAGTAACATATCATTTCAGGGTCGGAGCCACTGTCGAAATTATTTGTTGCTGGCTTAGATGGGTCTGGCTCAATGTTATATACTCTACACCCAAAACTGATGGAGGCTTCCTAGAATGAGAGTAGCCCGAAATCATCCAAGTCATGGATGACCAATTTGTGTATTGAAACCCATGGCGACTTGGGGAGCCCCCCTGATACAAACACCGAGACGAGACTCAGTTATCAAGAATCCAAGGGACATATCCAAAGCGCAGAAATGCCAGGCGATGATTTTCGGTTTTTTGTCACGTTCAATTATTTTTAATTGAGTACACACATATATATATATATACATATCTATCTATATATCTCTCTTTGCTGGCACAATGCCTGATATCTGCGCCAATTGTTGCTGCCCTGGGAGGACAATTTATTCCGATACGTGGCTATTTCCATCAGGAAATTTCCACTGAATTTTCATGTGATCACCTTCCACCCCCTCCATTTTTAAACATCTGTCTTTCTTCCCATTCTTGTGCTCTAGATCCCTATGTTGGGATTGGTGTGGGATTTGGGTTGCTGGTTTTTGGATCCTGAAAGAATCCCGCGTAGTGATTATTTCAATCATAGCTCCAAGTAAGTCATCAAGCCACCAACCCTGGGCCAGGTGATCTAAGCTGGCCATGTTTCCAGGCTCCAACCCTGCGAGTCATATTTTTGGCCATCATTTTTCGGGATTTTCCATGGCTATGTGAAACAACACGCGCCCTGCAGGAGCAGAACAAGCTCGTTTTAGAAACCCTCGAGCGCGTGCGGTACCCGGTGGATCCCGGTGGACGAGTGGCTCCAGAATTCGTGGTCGTCTTTGGTCGACCATTTGCAGCGAAAATAGAGATGCAACACAGATTTGCTATGCTGAATAAGTATATGAATTGGAGAGACATAATTCAATATATCTATCTATATCTATCTATATCTACATATCCATGTAGATTTATATATCTGTATGAAAGCATGTATAGACATACTTTGTACATAAACATTTGTACACATATACACGCCAATAGAACTTATCTACAGTATTGTCGATGTGCACAAAAACATGTACTTATAATATATATATATGCACAAAAGCCAATATATACATTTATTTGCATATCTACATATTTGTCAATCAATCAAGCAAGCAAGCAATCCACCTAGGTATCCAATTGTCCGCCTATCTATCAACCTCCTTCCATAATCCGGTAATCTATCCAACTATCCAGCTATCCAACTATCCCACTATCAATCAATCAATCAATCAAACAATCAATCAATCAATCAATCAATCTATCTATCTATCTATCTATCTATCTATTCATCTATCCATGTATTCATCCATCCATGTATTCATCCATCCATCCATCCATCCGTCCATCCATTCATCCATCCATCCATTTTCAATGAATCTATTCATCCATTAATCTACTCTAATCTAACCTGAGGTAATCTAATCCAATCTAGTCTATGTAGTCTAGTCTAAGTCCAATCTAATATCATCTGATTTGATCTTATCTAAGTTTGGTCCAATTTGGTTAAATCTAATCTAAGTCTAATCTAATCCGATCCAATCTAAGTTGAAGTCTATATAATCCAATCCAATCTATCTCTCTACTTGGGGGTGCATCCCAATCTTGCTTTTGATTTTGTAATCAGAGAGATTAGTTTTTCTTCGTGAAAATTGGCAGCCAGATCCTCTGGCATCTTTTACCTGAGCCTGATTTTCATCTGCATAATTCACGATACACTTCTTCATCATACTCAAGTAAAAATAGTCCTTATTTGCTACAATTATATTCTCTAAGTTTTCGTTTTCCTTTTTTTCATAGCATATTTATTCCATGATGCTATTTCTTGAAGCATGATCGAAAAAGAATGTTTGACATATTTTTTCCGACTCTTCTTTACACAGTTCTTTTTAGTGGCTAATAAATAAATGTAGTAAGCATATTCTACCCCAGCTAGCTGGCGTTTTTTTTTTAATCCACGGATCCTATGGATCCGATATGGTCCCCGAGATGGTCCGATCCATGTACTGAGGTGGAGCAAGAACGGGAACAAGCTCATGAGCAGATTCGAGCCTGTCAGGCGCGAAGACAAATCATGGTGGGATATTCTGACTTCCTGTCAGATTCGAGCCATGAAAGACCTGGAAAATGTCGTTTTTTTTTTTTTTGAACATTTCTCGGAATATTGATGAACAAACATGGAATATATATATATATATATTGGAAAAAATGCGTTTTTTTTTTGCCTCAAAGTTTCATATTTTGATTTGGGTTTGGGACTTTTCCATGTTGTTCAAATGGATATGGAAGGAATATCGTGGGGGTATACAATTTTGTAGCGATATATAGGGGATATAACCAACCAACTTGATACGAAATTTGCGTGTGTCGAACAAATTAGGGGAAAAGTTCAAACTCCCGTGGTGTATGATAATTTCCCCTACTGTTTAATGGCCGGAACCGGGGTGTAGCCCCATTTTCAGACCACCAGCTTTTTGGAAGTCTTATTATTATTTTTACCTGAGGCATTCAGATATACTGTGCCTGTTGATTGGCTTTTGTATGAGGTTACTAAGCTACCTGGTTTATTTGGGGTTAAAAAAATGTTATAACATACCGGGATACCTATTTACCAACATTACTATTTGGAGTTTTCCTAAAATAGGGGATTCACCAAATCATCCAAAATTAGACCAAATTAGTATTGACACCGATGGTTTTGGGGTACCCGTATTTAAGCTACCTCCATATAAACCATGTATGTATTATCAATATCAATATCAATATCAAGATCAATATCAATATCAATATCAAGATCAAGAACAATATCAATATCAATATCAATATCAAAGCCTGTTCAAGCCTATGCCTTCTGCGCTTTTGAAGGATCGCGATGCCTCCCTGCGGAGCGAACTCCAGGCCATTAATGATAAGTGCTTTGGCGCAGATTTTGCTAGAGATGATGGGGATTTATTTAACTAATTTACACTCTGGTTATTTAACATAGCCATGGTATAGATGGCCCATTTATTACGAAAGCCAGCTAGCTGGCTAGTTGCTGTTTGCGAACGAAGTGAGAATAGGGGGTGTGGGGGGGGGTGGTTGCCGAAAGGGAACGAAATCTCGCCGTGCCCCTGTGTTGAGCGCCAGAAAACGGAGCATTTTGCTGGATTAAGTACCACTAGGCAATTTGCTGACGGTGGGGTATCGATTCCCCCTAGGTCCGCCTTTTTGGTGGCCGGAAAGACCATGAGGATGTATTGGAAAATACAATGAAACTGCAGGAGAACATGATAACGATCAGAGGAAATCGTACAAAATCCCCTGGAAAACGGACGAAAACGGAGCGAATGCGAGGAACAAACCATGGAAAATCCCTTGGAAAATGGAGGAAACCGGAGCGAATGCTAGGCGCAAACCATGACGATGCAGTAAACATGCTGGAAAAATACAGTGAAAGTGCAGGAAAATGTGATAACAACGAGAGGAAATGGTGCAAAAAGGATCGGAAAATGAAGGAGACAGGTAAAACTCTTGGATTAATATTAATATTGAAAAGGTATGAAAATGCAGGAAACCAGAGGAAATGGTGCAAAAACCTATGGAGGAAAGAGGTGAAAATGATAGGAAACATGTAGTAAAAAAATGCTGGACAAAACATATTGAAAACCCACGAAGAGGATGTATTGGAAAATACAATGAAACTTGAGCAAAACATGATAACGATCAGAGGAAAATGCTAGGAACAAACCATGCAAAATCTGTTGGAACATGGAGGAAACCGGAGTGACTGCTAGGAACAAACTATGACGATGCAGTAAACATGTTGGAAAAAGACAGTGAAAGTGCAGGAAAATGTGATAACAACCAGAGGAAATGGTGCAAAAACGATCGGAAAAATCAAGGAGACGGGTAAAACTCTTGGAAAAATATATTGAAAATGTATGAAATGCAGGAAACGAGAGGAAATGGTACAAAAAGCCATAGAGGAAAGCGGTGAAAATGGTAGGAAGCATGCAATAAAAAAAGCTGGACAAAACACAGTGAAAACCTACAAAAGAGAAGAAAGTAACCACAGGAAACGGTAGAAAAAACAGTGGAAACTGGAAGAAAAGTTGTGACAATATTAGGAAAACGGTGTACAAGCTAGGAAATGCTTGTAAAAACTAGAGGAAACGATGTAGAAAACAGTACAACATGGAGGACACGCGTGAACATGCTAGGAGGCATGTAACATGTTAGAAAAATACAGTGAAAACCTAGGAAAATGTTATATCTAAAAATTCTTTAAAAATATAGTGAAAACCAAGACAATGTTAACGAGCGGAAACGTTGAGCAGGAAATCCGATTTGGTTTCTGTAGATAATGTTAGATGATGAGCAATGTAGTTTGGTGATAGGAAATAGTGGCTGACTCGCGTACAAGACATTGCCATGAAACCTTGGAGCAAGATGCGGATGGTATAGGAAAAAAGATGTATGAGTTGTAAGATTTTAGGAGTTGCATGGGAAAATTGGTTTCATGGTAATCTGTGTGAAGTTAGAAAAGTGTGATTTCGTTCACAGAGTAAGAAAAATAAATACAATCTGCAGATTAGAGTATTTATAATGCTTAAACTGTTTGACGTTTTTTGGTGCCTCCCTGATTCTGGTAGTTTTGTGATAAGAACTACAAAAACGATCTACTGGTAAACGGAAGGAATAGTCTTTCCGGTTTAGAACTGAGTCGACTGTCAAGTGATGCATAGGCTCCAGGCCTCTGGTTATTGTCACAAAGCATTGGAATGAAGATTGCGCCCAGGAGCCACCTAGGTTAGGAGACAAATGCTGTAATATCATTGTAAGAGGCCGTACTGAGAAGGCTGAAACGGAACTAAAAGTGAATCTTGTACTAAAACATCGAGAAAGAATTTGAATCTTCTAATGGCAATGACGGGAATGATATGCATCTGTACGTCCGTGATAGTATGTGTGCCTTTTAAAAGGGATGTTTGGCGAGTGGGATAGCTGAGAAGATTTTCCGGGATGCCAAACAATTATCTCTATCGATGTCAGGGATGATGCTATTCCGCGACATTTCCTGTAAAATACCTATTTGATTTGGACTGCATGTTCGCCACTGTTCTATATTTCCCGTGGGTTTTGCATTGTTTTCCTCGATTTTCATTCGTTCTTATACCCTTTCTTACGTATGTTATAATATTGTCTTGGGTTTGCACTGCCCATTTTGCGAGTAGAGCTATATTTGATTTCTCACCTTACGGCCAAAATGTTGCGGAACTTCGCGGAGAAGCATGGACCACGATTCTGGGGAGAAAACAATTTAGACTTTGAGAGGTCACATGACCACTGTTCACACAAAAAAACGGGTATTATTTATCTACAATAGGTGGGAGCAAACTTGCGCTGTTTTAAGATAAATGAGCAACCAAAGGCGGATTTACGGAACTTGAGATAGAACTTTTCACAATGCCGCAGTACATTGTAGGAAACATATTTGGATATAGAAGTTACAAAATCGTGGAGTTTACCCTAAAAAGGTCCATTTAATGATTGGAAAATTATGACCCGATAGCAATTGTTGATGTTGGGGCGCTTCATGTTTGAGCCATGCCATATGGATGAGGTGGAGTTTCACGCGCCCCCGCGCGAGTCAAAAAGCAAGCGCTGGCTTTCGTTCCACCCCTTCTCAGGTAGATGACTTTCCCAGCTAGAAACCTCCATTTATGGTTGGGATTTTCCATGGTTATGTTAGTCATAACCAGATGGTAAGCATAAACATTTGGATATTTCGCAGGCGGATATGACTATGTTTCGAACAGAGTCGTCTTTTCCCACAATGGGGATCGAACTGGGGATTTTTTTTTATGAAAACCAGGACGGTCATTGACATATTTAGCTACTCAAAATTGGGATACTTTTTGGGGGGATTTAAGTAGGGATATGATATAGTGGGTCTATTGGAATTTAATCTTTATTTGGCCGCTGTTAAGTGACAAGGGCATGACCACGAGGGATTTGACTCATTTGACCAACAGTTTCATTTCGGGACGTAGTCAATAGATATGGGGACATATCAATCCATTGGAAATGATATATTTGCCTACCCGGCCTGGTAAACAAAAACAGTTCGCGAACTGGAAAGATCCACCATCTTTAAGTTCGGTAAATCAACGAACTTTCTATGTGCCATGGCTTCAATAGCTAAGTGTAACAAATTACCAGAGGCTCAATTTTATCAATATCTCAGCCAGTTGACATCCCATTAAACCATATTAATCCACCATTTTCAATGGAACAATCATGAAACATTTCCGGAATGGACCATTCATCCATTCATCCATTCATCCCATGGTCCCGCACCGCAGAAGTAGGGCTACTCCTTTGGTACATCCTTGGCATTTTGTAGGGTGAACTAATGTGCTTATCACCCCCTTTGCAACGTGAAACCCCTATAATTTATCTGTAATTATAGTTTTTATCTATGATTACCATTGATTATCACTAATGTGGTATCATCATTTACTTACAACTGTTTCCCCATGAAACTTGCCAGACATTGGGGTACGCAACGGTTTTAAGCGGGGTCGCACCCATACCTTTTTCTAGTTTCCGAATCTGCGCGTGACTCCATCAATCACCCCAAGCGTGCCCGAACAATATGCAAGTTGGTTTAGAACTTCGCTAACTTTCGGGTTTATGGTGGATATGATATGTGTAACTGGGTTATAAACACAATTTTGTTGGTCATGTATATATGAATACATATGAAGCATGCATTTTATACTAGTATTCCCCGGTTTTTCGGTTGGTTGTAAACCATAGACATGACCATTTCAACTGCCATGATTGAACTTCTGTTCCTTTTAACACCAAGGGATTGGTGGGAAAAGGTACCGGGTACCTCAAAGTTTGATCCTCCAAAAAAGAGATCCCTACATCTTCGCAGATATCTCGGTTGAATCTCCCTACGATAGTCCCATTGTCAAAATGCTGGATCAGTTCGCCATGTTTTCCTTTTGTTTATGGATGTCCATCCCCATTGCCTTTTCGCCGCAAGTTTTGTGAGTTGACTAACATAACTATGGAACATCACCATTTTTTTTATGGGTACATCAACTGTAAATGGCCATTTTCAATAGCTATGTTAAATTACCAGAGGGTATCCCATCTCATTCTACTAGTTGCTTAACAGGTTTCCCTATTTTGGGGATAGTTGATTATTGCTATTATAAATATGTTTGTTTACCAGAGGGTAAGTTTCCTCATTTTTTGGTGGTCCTTTGGTCATTTTTTACGTAGCGAACTGGAAACTGTACCAGTTAGTTCGATGATTGATCTTCTTGCAGAACATATGGCTTGGGGATTTCAGATGATCATACCCAGTTTGTAATATATACTGTATATATTATAATATATATATATGTCATATGCATATAAACACATATTCTAAAATATACATATTCTAAAATACACATTTTCTAAAATATACATATACAATTTATGATATATATATATATATATGTATACATACGTATGTTAAAAAAAACATCATCCCATTGTCACATCCGAGGATTGGCTCGTTGGCCGAACGCCTGCGGCAAGATAAGTCTGAAACGGCTTCCAAGGTGCCCCATGGGATCTCAAGGATTTGGAGCTTGATGTGCATTTATCATGACATTTATCATGATTATCCATGAAACATGGGAATTGAAGGAGCAGAAATGGAGATTTTTCACATGCAAAGATAGGGAAAGATGCGATGGCAAACATCAGGAATTGGATCAACATGGGAAGTTCATCAGCAAATCAGGAATAACATTGGGCGGGCTGGTCACCCTAAACTGCGATGCCTGAAAACGGGGATCCCTACGTCACCATAGTTGTGAAAAATACACAACAAGGTCATCCTTGACATAAAAAAGATGTGGAAGTAGCCCCGTGACTTAAGAAACCTCCATGACTCAACTATTGATTTGCTTCAGTTGGAGTCTGGCCCAGCTAAAAAGGTCGATTCAAAAAACTGTAGCTGGTCATGCTCTGCTCCTGAAGTCATTAGATTCGTAGCTGCTCAAGTCCCTGCTTTTGAGAATTGGATCGTGACTTCGGTTTGTTAAAAAAAAACACCATTTAAGTGCTGAAACAGAATGGGATTTGATTTACTCTATTCTCGATTTTTTCATGTCTCAGCACCGTTGGTGAACGAATCAGAATAGCTGCTATATATTGAGTTGAATCCACCCATTTAGGTGGCAAAGTGTATAGGTGTTGTTCAGTATTTATACAAGCTGGTGCCGTTGGGATTTGCTCTATGGTAAACACAACTCCACTGGGTCATGGCAGACACATAAAACCATGTTTTCACCAGCGGCTCTTTCGACTCTTCAGGATGAGCATGTCCGGGTTCTCTCTGAGCAGAACAAACAGATGCTGACCATGCTTGAGACCGAGGTGGGAATTTCTCAAAGCTGGGAAAACGTATGGTTGAAACCATGTTTTTTTTTTCCTGCGGAGGGGTCTCCAGGAATTTGCCCCTTCAAAGTCAAACTTGACTTCAAGTGAAATCTGCATGATTTTCTAGAATGGGACCTCTGAGTTCTACCAGAAATTTCGACCAGAAAGCTGCATCATGCAATGCTCAGATTAAGATTCGATTCCGTGGAGATCACGGACAAAAAACCCATTGGAAAACGTAACAACGAACTGGGTTTGTCAGTGGGGATACCCCGAAATGGTCATTTTTCACATCTGGTTGGTGGTTTCAAACATGGCTTTTATTTTCCATAATATATGAGAAAATCCTTCCCATTGACTTTCATATTTTTCAAGATGGTTAAAACCACCAACCAGACATCAGTTTCTTGGGGGAAATTCATGAAAATTCGTCTCTTGAACTTCGGACTGGGACGGACTGTGAGGAGCAGAAGGCCAAAGCCACTGCAGAGTCCATCAAGCAATTGGAAAGTCGCTGGGCCAATTCTTCGTTTGAATCCTGGGGCCCCCGTTCAGCCCTTGGGAACATAAATGGTTGCTGTAGTTCGTAGGGGAATTTTAGGCTGATCTTGTGAATTCAGACATCATTTGCATCCCAAAGCATGATGATAGATCTAGGGGATCGAGTTAAGTCACACATGACTGCTACTATTTAGAATGGTGCTGCAACTCAGCTTTTTTCTTTACGGGGGAAGTGAAGAAGTTGACCGACCGAAGGTCGGCATGTGAATGGCCGTGTCATGGCCGTGTCATGGGATGTGTGTCAAAACCGGTACCAATGATTCACATCTTGATACACATCAATGCATCCCAGCTGATCAATGGGTCCAAAGTTCCCACTGATTGGGTCTAACATTGAATACATAGAAGTAGATGACCTACATAGTTATTTGGATGAAATATTCCCTAAAATGCTTTCGCGGTAATCTGTTCATATATCTCATAATTGATTTATTAGAGTTCTGATTTAGTCCTAAAAACTAAATCTTTAATAATATTATGGATGAAAAAATGTACAAAATGTAGGGCAACCAAAACAGAAGACTTCATTGGAATGAATAAACAGTAACAGTGTATCAAATGCTTGGATAAAAACATCAAACAAATTATTCTCAAAAAGAAGTATTCTGTGATATTTGCTTATGTACAGTCAAACAGTGTAGAGTATCTAAACATTTACAAACTCCAAAACATATCAATAGCGAGAAGAAAAAATGAAGAAGGAAGAAAGCAAAAAGAAAAGAATGAATATCTTAAAGATGATGAAACTAGAATAGAAGCGCTGCAAAAGATATGGAAGACAGTTAGATTATTTAATTTTAGAAGACATTATAACCCATACTTCATCGAAGGAAATTTAGAAGTCAAACTTCCGATAATATGGACAGATGAAAAGCAGAGATGGGAAGAGTCAGAGAAGAGAAGTGACCAATCTCTCCTATAGTCCTATAGGTTTCCTATATTTGAAACTTCCGCCACCGCTTTGTGCGGTACTGCTGGTATAGTAAAGTACTATTTGAAGTATGTTATATATTTGTTCTAGGTTGTTTTACTTTTAGGTGGGGTGCTTGCTGTTGGGGTGCTTGGGTGATATATGTTTTATGCTTTTGTTTTGTTTTGTGTATAGGTTATTGTGTCAGGGTGCTGTTCTGGTTTGTATGCTGGCGTGTGTGTATAAGTTTGTATGTATGCTGGGGTGAGGGGTTGAGTATTGAATTGGGGGTTGTTCGTCACTAACTAGTATGTGTATATATATATATTATGTATGTAAAGTCTTGTTGATACATACATAGATATATCTATATATATATATACATATGCAGAAGTTCTGTTATATATATATATATATCTATATGTATGTATGTATATATATAGTTATATAGGAAAGATACATCCATTATTGTCGGTTGAATCATTTTTGTTTCTGCATTTTTCTTTGGAACATTGATGGAACCAACATTCAACTTCTGTGACAATTTCACCAAAGATGGTCTGCCAAAACTTGATCATCGGCTGTGGTCCGCCTTTCAAAGGTAAGAACCGAAAGCTCCAGAAGATTGCAGAGGACAGCTACCAGCTTTCACCAGGTTTTTGATTCACTGCAAAATGGTACTTCTATATCCCTTCCCCCGAAGAATCAACACCCATTTGAACCAATTCTTCTCTTGAACGAGCCAAACATCACTATCATTTCGTCGTATCATCTGTTGCTGTCAACCCTCCAGCCCTGCATCCATTGGACATCGGCCGGAGCTTTGGGTCCCGGGAAACTGGAGGAAACCGTTTCAAAACGATGTGGCGAAAACGCCCTTGGTCTGCCTGGGAAAATGATCTACTTAAATGGAGATCGGCTTGTCCTGTAATTTTTCCCATAAATCAACTGGTTGGGTTTTTCGAAATATACAATCCACTAAGGAAAATCCAAGAGATCCCTTGAACTCGCCAGTTAAAGGGTTTATGAGTTTATGAGTTCGGATTCCTTTCAGGTATTGGAGGGACTTGAGGCATACTCCAGAGGTATCTTCAAATAATCTGAGAGTATCTAAACATGATGATTTCCATGATTTGTCAATGTTTGTTGTTTATTCCTACCCTCTGGTGTCATCGTACATGGCCTGGAAAGTCCTCCCAGCTTGGATCACCCCCTTTGTGCGGCCGGTCGCGAGCGACCGCAGGAATTTGACACTGCTAAGGCAGACTTGGAGCGACAGGCCTAGCCATTCAATGTGTAGCGACTGATTATGGGAATAGAATGGGAATATCATGGAAATATACGTGGGAATATGAACAGTTATGAACCTGGGGATATCATGGAGAAATGATGGTTGATGATGGTTGATTGGTGAATTTGTATTCAAACCATAGTTATGGGAATTTGATGATGATGGGTCAAACCTAAATAGACACCTAGACGGTTACTAGGCTAAAATGTCGCATGGCCATATGAGAAACGTGGGATTGACAGCTTTAACTATGGGAAAAATGGGATTTATTATTAATAACCACATATATGAAGGAATTAGCAAAGACAATGAGCCGACTGATATGGTTAGGCTCTAAAAGTACAACCAAGAAGACGGTTATCAATGCCAACAACTTGTTTCCGAGCAAGTTCAACGAGAATTCCCGACGGGTGACCCTCTGGTAATCCAAACTTATACACTCTGGTAATTGAATACATAGCTATTGAAAAAATACACCATAGAAATAGCTGATTTACCTATTCAAAATGGCAATTTCCTATAGCTATGTAACAGTTTACCAGAGGGTAAGTGGCAAATTCGGGTAGCGATGGGGGATTTTCAATGGCCTTGATTACCAGAGGGTGCAGCTGCAGTGGAACAGACTGCTCCAATCATGTGAAATGGCTTTGTCTGAAAATGTGGTAGCCCAAAAATTCATGAGTATATATATATATATATATGTAGATGTATGATTATATAATTATATACATATAATCGTAATTTTCCGGATTACAATGGCAAGTTTTGAGGTATATTCGGTATATTCTAAAGATCATGTGGGTAAAACCATGTCATAAACTATCCCCCAGTCATCACCATTTTTATAGGTGGTAGTTTTACCATTCCCAGTCATGGGTGGTTTATGACATTGTTTTAGCCAAATCTTCCAGCGTCGCCGTACGTCGCAGGTCTCTGAAGCCAAGTCCAAGTGCGCGGACACCGTGGCCACGGTGAAGAGTAGCTTAGCACGAAGTCGAAGTTGAAGGGGATGAGAAATGATGAGAAGATGGGTGCTATAATGGTGCTATAGTGGTTATATATATATACATATATATATAACGTATTATATGGTTGTATAGTGGTTATATAGTGGTTATATAATGGTTATATAGTGGTTAGTGGTTATATAGGGGTTATGTAGTGGATATATAGTGGTTATATATATACATACATATGGAGGTTTCCGAAGTCATGGGGGTACCCCAATATGAATCGTTTTTTTGATGGAAAATCCTATTCAAATGGATGATTACGGGTACCCCCCTTTTTAGTAAACCCCCATATATGTAAAGCCGTGTTGAATCCATATAATAATGTATATATATATATATATGGTATTATATGGTTATAAGTTATATAGTGGTTGATGTGGTTGCATATGGCTAATGGTGTAATAGGGAATAATACGTTGACTCATTGTTATGATGCTGCTATAATCAGGGTTGTTCCAACCCATTATAGATAAATGATAGCCACATTTGGGTGGTAAATGAAACAGTTTTCCTCTATATTTTCCAAATTGACACCCCAAACGTACCTGGGGTGTTGGGAGCAACCCTGATAATGATTATAATGTGTAATATGGTGGCTTACTGTTGTAATGGTGTAATGGTGTAATCGCGGATGAGTAAGTCGATCCAAGTGAGCTAAATCAACGATAACCCAAGTTATAATGGCTATGAAGAAATGGAGATGAAAATATGTAATCGTCTATCAATCCATTGGGGATCAACCATATTGACGAGATTTTCTGGGGATTTTTAGCTGTGAACCTCTCATATCCATTTGACGAAGTCAAAGAGGTCAAAGAGATGGGGATGGGGATGTAACCTTGTAATGGATATTCTTGGGGATGTTTTAATGGTGACTCCACAAGTGGGGTTTTCGAAAAGGCTATAGGGGTGACTCATACTGTATCAACTTAATGTCGATCATGAGATGATGAGATTATATGAGATACTGTCAGTGGATGGTTGCGAAATCCTGCACCATCTGGTAAGGCCACCTTGGATGGTTGAAACCGTGTACAAAATGGGGTAAACCACCTATCAACTGGTGCATTTTTTTTCTTTTTCCATCAACACTATGATGGGGATATGATGGGTGGTGGGATTGCTGATTTCCCTGACTTGCATTCAAGGAAGAAACACATCACGCTGAACAACTCGTTTGCTCACAAGTCCGGGTTCAACCCGGTTCCGGGCACCCCATTCCAGGAGTTTTTTTCTCAGCATTTTCCGGCAATTTGTGGTACACCCCATTTTCATCCCCTTTTCTGCCAAAGCTATCTTCGTTGGGTAGCAACTCCCCTGATGGTTTGCTGTCGGTGAGGCCAACGTAGTTTGAATGAGACCCTCAGGCGATTTTCGGTGGCATTCGGATCATGATTTGGAGGTGTCCGTTTTGTCATGGGGGTACCCCCAAATCATCCATTTATCGATCGATTTTTCCATTATCAACCATCTATTTGGGGGTACCCCCATTTATGGAAACCCCCATTTATCGGTGTCATCAACATGAGCTGGGAAAGCCCTGAAGCCATGGAGGCTTTCAGTTCATGATTTGTTCCGACAATCATCGAACTAGTGAATTTTCCAGCATGTTTGATGAAATCGGAGGCTATCATTTATCTTCGTTTGGATCACGACTCCAGCTTTTTTCGATTCGTTAGGGAACTCTTCCAGGATCAATAGGATTAGGAGTTTTTCTTGCGAGCAACAAGTGGAGAAAGTGACCGTCGACAGTCTAGGGTATAAGCTTTACCTACACGTGTGCACATATATATATATATATTCATACGTATTCAATTCAATTCAATTTTATTCAATTCAATTCACGTTCGCATTCATTCACATTCACATTTACATTACATTTACATTACATTTACATTACATTTACATTACATACAGAATTGCACTGCACCATATTTTCACAATCCAAGAATCATCGTTCATCCCTTTTGGGTAATCCCTTGGCTCCCTTGGCCATCCCGCAGATCGAGCTCGACATAGCTCGACCGGCAGGTCCAATATCCAGAATACAGAAGCGAAGACAAGGGTCCCATCCTCTCGCTGCTGAATCTGCCGGGCAGGATGGTTTTTTTGGTACTGGGAGATAGCAACGACCAATATAAAAGGGATACTTGAGCACTATTTCTTCTGAACCATGTCCCATTATTTTACATGATCAGTATCTACCCATTATGAATCCATTATTAATCCATTATTAATCCATTATTCACTCACTATTCACCCATTCTTAACCCATTCTTAACCCATTCTTAACCCATTCTTAATCCATTCTTAACCCATTCATCATCATTTTTGTATGATGTTTGTTTTTCATCTTTTGTTGGAGAAAGTGTTACACCTGAAATGGCAGTGATATCTCGGACTTGGATTCCTCAGATAACTGGTTTTGTTTTATATTGGTGTTATATTCCATGGCATCTCGCAGTTTTGGTTACTTGGAAGATCTGCTCATAGTAACTGGCTAACAACGTTGATCACGAATGTCTTATAATTCCCATAGGTTTTTCTCAAGAAAAATCAGTTAATTCCTATGGTTTTCCTAGGAAAACGACTGAAACTAAACTACTTACGATGACAGTGGGGGAAATTCAACCATCCTCTGGCGCTCTGGGTCTGGGGATGGTAAGCCTCTGAAAATCAACATCACACGGTTAGAGATGGGCTTTGGAAGATGATGCTTCTCCAAATTTCGGTTTTCAGGCGTGATTTCATGTTGATTTTTTGTATATCTATACATATATATATATATATCTATACATATATATATACATATATATATATATATATTCGATTCCGGAATCGATGGTTGTTTCGTGATTCCCTCGGCCAGGGTGATGTTTTATTGGGTACATGTCATAGCTGCAGCGGTTGGTAAAGCGGAACTTTTAACCACCAATCATCCAATAATTCGAAAATCTTTAAAGGAGATCCAATGTGTGTTTAAACTTGATAGCCTCTGGTTATAACCAACAGTTTGCCGTGGAATATGTAGAGCCCATTTATAGATTTTATGGTGATTTACCTACTAAAAAGTATGGTTTTTCCATAGCAAACGGTGAAATAGCCAGAGGCTAAATCCTAATTCGAATCCATAAAAATCCATATGGTTGATATAAAATTTGAAGACCATCCATATTCGAATATTTATCCATATGGATGGTCGTTTATATTAATATAAAAATCCACATTGTTATATAAAAAGCCATAAAAATCCATATGGACAAGCCCCATAGGTTGATATTTGACCGACCATCCAATGCTAGACTTTTTTGGCCACGCTGGCTAGACATCCATTTATAGCTGGGATGTGCATCCCAAGAATCCAGAAATATAACGCATCTTTCATCCCATTGATCGGGGATATTCTATTATATAATCTACCCTCTGGTAAACTAACATAGCTATAGAAAATTAGCATTTTGAATAGGTAAATCAACTATAGATGCGGTATTTTCAATAGCTATGTTAAATTACCAGAGGGTAACTGGGGGTATAACAATCCTAAATAAACCAAAAAAAAAGCGTGGTCAAGCCAATTAAGAGAAACCATTCCTAAAATCACAATTTTGCTGGGTTGTATAAACCATCCCCAGTCATGGTAAGTTTATTGTTGCCTTTCCCACATTACTATATATATATACATATATATATATACATACACCCTCTGGTAAACTAACATAACAGTGGAAAATCACATTTCTGCATAGGTAAATCAACGAACTCAACGGGCAATTTTCAATAGCAAACTGTTAGTTTACCAGAGGGTATGTGTATATGTATATATATATGTATGTATATATATATATGATATGTATATATATATATATATGTATATATATATATATGTATATATGTATATATGCGTATATATATATATATGATATGTATATATATATATATGTATATATATATGTATATATATGTATATATGCGTATATATATATGTATATATATATTATATTTATATTAGCCAGATAAATGAGGAAGTTTAATCTGCTAGAAAGACCATTCGTTTGACTCCCACGACGAAAAAAGAAAAATGTGCAACTGAGTCCACCGAGGTTTCCTAAGTCATGGGGGTACCCCCAGTCATCATCCATTTTAGATTGGGATTTTCCATGAAATCAACCATCCATATTTTTTGGTACCAGCATTTTAAGAAACCCCCAAATATGTGAAGATCTTTCTCTAAGATTTTTCTCTTTTCGACATATGTGTCTCATATTTGAGCGTAAAAAAAGCTCCTTTTGGTCATCGGATAGGAAGGGTCAATCGTACCTCACAACCATGTCACCCATGATACTTGAGATGCCGATCCAGGTTTGGTTGGTTAATGTCAACCCTGGATTAATAAACCATAGTATTAGATTATGACTATTGGAGGAGTACCCCCCTAATTAATAAACCATGGTTTATTAATCAGGGGTTGACATTAACACCCTTTTGTTTTATTGAATTACTATAATCAAGCCACATCCCCAGTACATATATATATATATATACATCTGTTTTGTGTCAAAATGGATTTTAGACTCATTATCCACTATCTGTAGTGGTTGGTATTCCAATTTTTGCTTGTAGATATACCTTTGTACCACTTTCCCTTGTTAAAAAAACATCCATTTTGCTTGTAACAAACCACCATTTTTGCTTGTAAATACACAGCCTGTTTTCAACGCATCCGAATCTTTTTTTCGGTGTCCGTTTTGTCTGGGGGATTCCCAAGTCACCATGGATTCAATTTCCACAAAATCCGTTCACTGACTTGGTTGAAAATAGGGGATACCCTCTGGTTATGTCAAAATAGCTATTGAAAATGGCCATTTATAGTGGATTTTCCCATGAAAAATGGTGATTTTCCATAGCTATGTTAAATTACCAGAGGGTATCCCCTATTTTCCATGAAAAATCCTTACATGATATTCAAAGTTGGTAGATGGGCAAAATCCTGTAAAAAAATCCCAGTGTGGAAAAAAGGAATCCCCAAAAATCGAAAAACCCTGCCGGGTGCAAGATTTCGCAGCCATCCACAGTATGACCCATGTACCAACTGGAAGAATAGTAATGATTGGTATTGCAATGGAATATATATATAATATCATAATATAATAAAAATGATGATACCATGGGATGTCATACATAATCATCATAATATAATATCATAAGTAATCATTATTTGTAATTATAATGGGATTATACTCTCTGGTAAATTAACATAGACCCTGAAAATAGCCATTGTTTAGTTGAAACCAATCTTCTTCTACCCCTATTTGCCAGGGTCGAACTGTTAGTTTACCAGAGGCTAATTTCTATCATCATTTGAAGTCTTCAAAATAGAAATGATGATAGACCTCTGGTTAATAGAAATTGTCTATGATCATTTGATACCTCATGGCTATTTGCACGACTTGGTACCGCAGCCCTTTCGCCTCTTTCGCTCGAGCCACAGTGGCGTAACGACAACGTCACCGGCCCAGCGAGGGGCGGCGTGGGCCAATCCGAGAGCGCACGACTTACGTCTTTCATCGCAGGTTGGGTGCGGGTCCCACTTAGTGTCGATGGGTTATACGGTTATACCCCCAGTTACTAGGTCAATCTTAGATGGATACTAAATAATCCTAACTAGTCTTTCGGTATCAATGGGAATATCTACTAACCAGAAAAGAATTTATTTTCTTGCATGGTATCTAAGATTGGCAATGGTTAGATTAATGGCATATCCCCCTCTTAGATTAATGGGATTATATGTGATTATATGATATTATATGAGATTATATTGGATTATATCGGTTATATGGTTTTCAACCAGTTGCTAACTGGAATGCACATCCAAGTATCATGTTATATCTCCATTTTTTGATGTTTAAAACCTATATAAATCCTTTTCATATCCAATCAACCAGGCTATATTTAACGGCTTATATGCGGGTTTACTGAGTCATAGGGGTACCCCTATTTTCATCCAAGTCATTGAAGAAACTTCCATGTGCACGGGTGGGTTGACAATTCAGGTTGGTTATTGAAGTATAACCCTGGACAATTTAACATTGCAAGGCAGAAAATCCCTATTTTCCATGGGAAATTAAGATATATCGTCTTCACATGCCAGGCTAACTTGCTGGTCTATATCGGTATGTCACACATATGACTGACTTATTTACTTATTATTACCACTTGCTAAACCATCATTATGGGTAGACTATAACCACATCACCACTACGTCACTGTCAATGACTACATACGCATCCCAAAAGGGCCAATTTTTTCAGGTTGGTCAATTGTTGCAAATTAATTACCCAGTAATTATGCTTTTTTGAAGTATGAGTCCACACTTTGGTCTTTATGGTGGGGGAATACCATGTAAGTGATCATGGTAATTTGTAAGGGTACCGGGGTACCCATTCTGCTAAGACAGTTGGAGGGTGAATCAGAATTCAGGGAGCATTTAAGCAGACGCATGCTGTCATCCACGCTATTTGCCCCAAAATTTCACAGGAGAACGCCCCAAAGTATGACCATTTTCAAGTCCGGAAACTCATTATTCACTGCGAATGCTTTGGGTTTCATGCTAAATTAGTAGTTTAATTCTGAAATGAAGGAACCTTTGACATCTCTCCATGGTTCAAGGTTGCTGTTCTGTTTCCAGGTACAAGCTCCTGCGGTCTTTTCTACTATTACACGTGCCTTGGCTCAGACCCTCCAAAAGGATGAACACGCAAGAAGTATAGACCCCAACCAACAATGGCTTTTAATATCTTGTAATCATATTCCCAACACAAATGGTGTGTCTGGAAATGGTGTATACCCTCAATAAAACACAATTTGTGTGGGAAAATGGTCTGATTGGTGGTTTGGAACATGAATTTTATTTTTCCATTGGGAATTTCATCATCCCAACTGACGAACTCCATCATTTTTCAGAGGGGTAGGTCAACCACCAACCAGCTTTTAATCATATTCCGAACACAAATGAATATCATTTTCCTCAGAGAAGCGAAAACTTAGAATCTGGTAGACCGAGATGGTGAGTCAAAAAAAGGCTACTGTGAACACAGCTTGCTGGGAATGAAACGGATTGTGAAAAATCGCTGTGAACTTCTTGCAGGGCATCGAGAAAGCAGCAAGTTTTGAGATATCCGCTTCTAATTATCATTGCTGGATTATTTTTCCATATATATATATTGGGAACAAGAATTCCATTTGACTTTCATATTTTTCAGAGGGGTAGGTTGAAACCACCAAGCAGATTATCGTTTTGTCGTAATTTTGATGTCATGGCTCTACACCCATTCTCACCCCCATTGTCCCATTGTCCCATCTTATATCTGGTTGGTGGTTTCAAACATTTCTTTATTTTCCATAATATATGGGATAATCATTCCCATTGACTTTCATATTTTTCAATATGGTTAAAACCACCAACCATATATATATATATATTACCCTCTGGTTATGACTAACATAGCCATGGTATAGATGGCCCCCATGGTTGAGCCATGGCCCTAATCGAAATAGATGGTTTACCGAACTTAAAAATGGTGGATCTTTCCATGGCTATCTTAAATAACCAGAGGGTAAATAAATCACTTTCATTTGTATCACAATCATCATGACCATATTATTCTTATAAATTTATCAGTTACCTTCTGGTATTTCAACACAGCTAAGAACAAATCACCATCTTAAAGAACGGCAAAAAAGAAACCTAAATGGGTCATGGCTTCTATAGTTACAGAGCAAATTACCAGAGTGTATATTCCCAAAAATCACCCACTTAGCTTAAGAGTTATCCCCCTTAAATATAGAAGACTACAGATATGGGCGTTTCCTTAAACCAAGGGCCATTTCAGGGACAGATTCATTAGAGGTAGCTACCATGTACAAGGCCGATGTTTTCAGGGCTAAATTTCAGGGAATATCCCCACAAAATATGCAAAATATGGCCTGATATGGTCCTGAAAGTCCCATTAAAGTGGCTAGCTCCCCAATAGCTGGATGGTTTATTTCATGGACAATCCTATCAAGATAGATGATTAATGGGGCTACCCATTCATCCATATATTGAACCATAAAAATAGCCATATAATCATATACCCATGATGGATGATTTAGGCCATGTGACTGACTACCGGAGGCTAGTAATTTTAGGAAACATCCATATATTTAACCAAATAGTCTCCAGTAGTCAGTCACATGGCCTGGAAAATCAACGCATTTTCAGCGAGTCTATCTATTATGGGCTGGCTTTAATGTGTATATGTATATATATATATGTACATATCACACACACACACATATATATACACAATACATACCTAAAGATTCTGAGGGCTTTGAGAAATAGCGGTCATTTGGGGTTTCATTGTTCTTTTTTTCTTGTGGTAACAGTGGTAACCACAGATCCCTCCGAGGGATCATATTTCACCAAGGGAATATGGTGAAGATTCATGGGAATTCATCCAAATCATCCCTCAATGGATGGGTTTAAGGGAAAATCTTCATCGGAAACCATTGGGAAACCATTGATTTTCCCATATTTTTCACATATTGAACCATAAAAAAAGCCATATAATCATATACCCATGTGTGTATATATATATATATTTCTGTAACCTTTCCCTTGAACCAATCCATTGAATCCCCAAATGGCCGACCTTTTCAGGGTGAATTATGATGACTCATCCAGAATAATGGAATATCTGGAAGATTACAGTTCGGTAAAGCTATATTCCATTTTCCATTGGATATTCCAACAGAATTCAGTATACCAACTGACAGAAAACTCGTTTCAGTGAACGAAGGATTCTGCCATCTGATTCAGTGAACGGGGAGTTCTGACTCAACTGTAAGGATCAACATTGAGCTGGAAACACAATCATAAGCAAACCATTTGGGGATGGTTGGAATGCCACCCATTTATGGTGACTGTGGGGATTGTTCATTACTGGGACTACCACACTACTCTTGTTGCTCAAAATCCAACTGTTTCGTTTCTTTTCAGAATCAGATCCTTTAATCCTTGCCGTTTGAATCCTGAAATCTTTGACCCACGAAGTCCCGTTTTTTTTTGGATAGCGAAGGTTCAACGCTCCGTACAATTCGCCGATGGATGTGATCCTCGAAGCTTTTGGCAGCCTGGAAGTGCGTGCAGCTTTCCTGGGAGGCTGCACCTTTTTTCCACCCCCCTGTTGGTTGATTACAGGAGGTTACCCTCCAGGATTTTCCCCTGGGAAATCCACGAACTAGCCATGGAGCTTTATAGCTGGGAAAATCATCGAACTAAATGGAGGATTGTCCAGCAAGCCACGTTACCGGAGGGTCTACTACCCAATTTTTTTTGGGGATTATGATAGTGAATTGTGGCAAGCCTTTTCAACCAGTATTTCATGGATTTTTAACCGTGTTTTCCCTTAAATCCAGCAGCGTGGAGGACTGCTGGCATTCATTGTGCACTTTACCAAGGCGCCTAGGCATAGAAGCGAAAGCCATTGGTCCCATGGGAGCTCGGTTCATGGGCTTTGTAAACCAACATGACTGGAGGGTATGAGTACAGTATGACTTTGTAAGGGCCATAGAGACCTGCAAGATCGTCCCAGGAATCGATGATTGACCATGAAAAATACCACTGATGACTAACCGAGGGGTTCTACTATCTGGTTTGTTGGGATTTACAATAATTTACATAGATTTATCCGGGGCGGACGTTCGCCCAAATTTTCATTGGGGGTTTAAGTTCCTGTAGGGTTAGTTATAGGGTTTATTTAAGGTTGGTTAGGGTTTACTTCGGAGGTGCTATTTAGGGTTGTATTCGGGTTTCATCAGGTTTGTCTTAAGAGATTTAGGGCTCACTTAGGGTTGCTGTTTATAGTTGATTTAGCATTTATTTAGGGTTGGGATGGGTTGGGTTACTTTGGTTTCTGGAAGGGTTTTACGGTTTATGAGCATCCCCAGGAATCGGCTCAGCTGTGGTTCCGAAGCGACAACCCTTCAAGTCCACAAGAAGCCCATCTTTTCGATGCCGAAAAAAAATGATGCTTAAGATATCAGGATGGTGCCCCCCAGTTATAAGTTGGTTTATAAAGCCCATTAACTATAGTTATATCTACCATAAACCATAGTTATGGGAGTTATAAACCAACTTAGCTAACTATGGGGCACCACTATAGTCATGGCGGTTATTTTTCCTTCCATTTCGGTCAAACATTCGCGTGTTTCCAGCGATTGTTTCCTCTGAATTGCCCAGGAAATTGCTAGATCCAACCGCAGACAACGACTCAGCTGCCCCAAGTTGGCTCTGCCGCGGCTGCTGAGCGCACTCTGCTGCTGTAGTCTGGGAGGAGCGACGAAAGGGTGGAGATGAAGCATCAACATGGAGATGCCAGGTGGTGCCCCAGAGTCAGCTACCTACCTATGTAGGTTAAGCAAGGTTATGTAATATATGTATACTGTATATCTATAGCGAATGGGGGGGTATAAACCACATTATAAGTGGGAGGCACCACCTTGTGTTTGACATGAAGAAGTTGTAATGTAAATAATGAAGATCTGGGTCGACTGGCAAGTCGTGTCATATCTTGCCATCCGAACAACTTTGCCAGTGGTCAACTTGTGCCTACCATTGTCCATCCCAGATAGGATCCGTGGTATATCAGCTATAGTATCTATACTTTTTTTCAGGAGTAAATACAGGAGTTCGGTTTCTAAAAACAGGATGAAATTCTGAGTGGTTGTGTGGCTGGAGCCAAAAAGCGATCGACATTGAACTTCCAACGCTGGACCTTTCCAGCAGACGAAACGAAAGGAAAAGTTGTAGTCCTTCGCTTGTTCATGCTTGTTCAGGCTCGGCAAACATGTGTTGGGCATCGCCAATTCGCCAGGTGTGGTGGAATTCAAATGAGGGGCTCCATTCAATTCACGTACACAACTTGAAGCCCAGTTTTTTTTCTCCAAGTGCCGCATGTGCACGGGTTGAAATAAAACAGAAGTTCATTCCAGCCCTGGACAACCGAAATTCAGAATTCAATCCCGATTCAATTCTTTCCTCCTGAATTTACTTTCTTCCTATTCCTGTATATCCTATATATCCTATATATCCTATATATCCTATATATACATCCTATATATCCTATATATACATCCTATATATATATACACATCCTATATATATATATACATCCTACATATATATATATACATCCTACGTACATATATATATATAATCCATATATATATATATTATAATACATATATATATATACACATATAATACATACATATATATATATAATACATATACATATATATATGTAATATATATTTATAATACATATATATATAATACATTATACATATGTATATATATATATAAGTGTAAATTTAATGTATAACCCATCACCCGCGGCGATGCCTCCTCTCCGGAGGACTCTGCGTCCACGCCACGAAAAATGCAGTGGAGCATGGACCATTCTCAGTGACTTTAAGGTGTGCTGGGATGGGATCGCCATTTTGCTTTCTGTATCTACTAGACATATGTTGTTTTGAACATAAATATGTAGATATGTAAGATCTGTGTATAAATTTGCATACTTGTACATACCTATAGTACATATGATTTACATCTACGCATACATATTTGAACCATACACATACAGTCACATACACATGATGTATGATTAATGTTTCACATCTACATTAAGACATGTTTTTTTTTTGGTTGTGGTTGTGGTTGTTGTTGTTGTTGTTGTTGTTATGCATACAACATACATCATACATACATACATACATACATACATGCATGCATGCATGCATGCATACCGTACCATAACATAACATAACATAACATAACATAACATACAGTACATACAGTACATACAGTACATACAGTACATACAGTACATACATACATACATACATACATACATACATACATACATACATACATACATACATACATACATACATACATACATACATACATACATACATACATACATACATACATACATACATACATACATACATACATACATACATACATACATACATACATACATACATACATACATACATACATACATACATACATACATACATACATACATACATACATACATACATACATACATACATACATACATACACACATACACACATACACACATACACACATACAGACATATACACATACACACACATACACACATACACACATACACACATACACACACATACACACACATACACACATACACACATACACACATACACCATACACATATACACGCATACACGCATACACGCATACACGCATACACGCATACACGCATACACGCATACACGCATACACGCATACACGCATACACGCATACACGCATACACACATACACACATACACACATACACACATACACACATCCACATGCACATGCACATGCACATACAAAGACATACATACATACATACATACATACATACATACATACATACATACATACATACATACATACATACATACATACATACATACATACATACATACATACATACATACATACATACATACATACATACATACATACATACATACATACATATTTTTTTGGCCATGGTTCATGGCTCAAGAGTAAGAGTACACTGTGGACCCACTTGTTTTTTTTGGGTAGTATCGACACATCGACTTTTTGGCATTAACGAGTTTGAGCAATATTAAGCTGAATGGTGAAACATCAGGGATGAGGGATGCTACCTGTTTTTCGCAACCATTCTACTGGGGTTAATGTTCCCTTCTTTGAAATTTTGGACATAGCCTGAATAGCTTTGGTTGGTTGTGATTCCCCAAAAGAGGGCCTAAAAAATGTTTAAAGGAGATAGCCATCACCACGAAACATGGCAGGCCGCTGAGAAATCCCTGCCCGAAATGGACATTTTTTAGCTGAGAAAACTACTGAAACTGGGGGATTTTTCCAGTTACCCTCTCGTAATTCAACATAGCTATTGAAAATGGCTCATTAACAGTTGATGTACCTATTCCAAATGGTGATTTTTCATAGCGAACTGTTAGTTTAGCAGAGGGTGAAGCATGTTCAATACTCTATTTTTCTATGAAAGTTCTGAGGTTGCATCACGTTATGTCTGCTTCGTTGGACGACGTTTTGGGATCCCATGCCATCCATTGTTGAACATGGCCCAGTCGAAATAGTGGATTTACCCATTGATAGCATGGTGATTTATCCATCGTTTTTTGCATGTTCACCGGAGGCTATTCCATTGTTGTTGATAGCACCATAAACTCTTGGTTCCTGGGTTGATCTTGATTTCAAGCACTTGTCTGGAGATGTTCTGAATGACCCGGCAATGGGTGGAGCATCAGGTGCAAATCTCCAAATCTGTGAGGTAAATGGAAGAACATCTGAGATACATTGAGGCTATCAAAGAATTTGGTCATATAACCATATTTTTCATGGGACAATTCACGATATATTCATGGTGATTTTCCATAGTTATGTAACAAATTTCCAGAGGGTACATTTCATGCTCCTGTATCGAGTACTTTTTTTTTGGGGTAGCTGATTCCTATCACCATTCAATGGCTCGAATCATCCCCTTGGGATTTCACATTGACCGTGACACAATGGGCGACGAAAGATGAAGAAAACACGAAAAGACTAACACGAAAAAAAGATGATATGAAGTTGTCATGATTACCATATGATTACCATTTTTTTTCGGAGGTTTTTGGAACTTTTGATAAACCCTGGCTGCCATAAAGCATCTCCCAAATCTCGAGAAATGGGTTGTATAAACACCAAATGGTAGTTGTTTATGGTGGTTTATGCCCGAATCCCACAGAAAAGGAAACTTGTGCCAGGGCACAGCATTTGTGTCACTGGCCACATTCGAACTTCAGGTGTAAAGCCTGGAAAAAACCAAAACCTATGGCTGATGGCTACCTTTTGTGTCATTTTTTTCGCAGACCAGGAGGTTCTCATCAACAATTGTCCCTAGAATAAAAAACATCCATATTTCTTTCATTGTTCCCATAAAATCCCATTAGCTGATATACATCCATTAATTCAATTCTTGTCCCATTAAATCAAATTAAGTCCATAAATTTAGCCGATTTTTTGTGGGTAAAATTCTCTTTTTCAAAGGGTTGACATTGACCTCAACGCAGGCGGCAGGTGATCCCACTTCATAGCTCCTCGATCCGGTTTGGGTTGGATGCTGCTGATTCAATGAATTAACGGTAGCTTAACCATTCTATGTACATGAGATTCCGTCTAAATTTGTGATTAAGTATGTATTGGAGTGTGCATCGGATGTTGGCTGTTGCATGAACCTCCTAAAACGACAGGGGACTCACAAATTTGATGATGCACTTGATGCAAACAATAGATTTCGACGGTGGCTCATATGGAGGTGTCCTAAAATCGGGGTACCCCTTGAATCGCCCAAGTCATGAACGACCATGACTTAGTATCGTGCCACAACCATGGTGACGACTGGGGATCCACCATGACTTAAGAACCCTCTGTATGGATTGTATATGGATTATATATGGATAATACATGGATTATATGGATTATACATGGATTACATATTATATGGATTACATATGGATTATAAATGGATTACATAATATACTCCCATTCTATCCCAATGATTGTCATACAGGATATGATCTCTTGGATGAGCGGCCTCGAGGCAAGCTGAGCTTGTCGATGGCGGCCCCATATACTATGTCCGTATGCATAGGTAGATATGCATGTATGTACACAGCTGTACGATATATATATATACACAGTATATATATATACAGTATATATATATATATATTCATTATCTATATGATTAGACATGTATGTATATATATATTGATTATAATTACATTATGCCACATCGTAATTGTATATAGCCACATCATCAGCGCGACTCAGATCTCCCAGGTGAGGATGGTGTGGTCCACCATAAGAGCGCCTACTATGGGGAGATTTCCGTGGGCACGCCTCCGCAACCCTTCGAGGCAGTTCCGATAAAAAAGGCGAAGTCGGTGATATGGAATTATCATGGGAACATATGATATATATATATATATACATGATAATTCCCATGATAAGAAGTATATATATATGTATAATTTTCTCATATATCACCACAATATCCCCATGAGAATCTCCCATATACATGGAATTTTCGGTGAAATGGAATTATCAATGGAAGTATATATACTGGAGATTTTCGTGGGAAGAATGGGGATATTGTGGTGATACAACTGGGAATGGGGACTATCATGAAGAATCCCATCCCCGATAAATTTCACCCCATAAAAACAGGTGCTCATTTCATCCCCTATTTCCATGGTTTCCGTAAGTGCGAGCACAGCGCTTATCCTACTCATGGGGAAGGGATTATGGTGATTCAAAAATTTTGTTGATGAACTGTATTAAGCAAACATGTTTTTTTTTTCTAAAATAATATCTGAAGAAGAAGAAAAAGAAGAAGAAGAAGAAGCAGAAGAAGCGGAGAAGAAGCGGAGAAGAAGCGGAGAAGAAGCGGAAGAAGAAGAAGAAGAAGAAGAAAATCAAGAAGAAGAAGACGAAGAAGAAGAAGAAGAAGAACATATGAAACATATGGATTGGAAAATATGGGTGTTACCATTAAAACCACTGGAAATATAGAGATTTCACCATACATAACACATTTTGTTTTCTTTTGTTTTTTTTGTTCCCATGAGACATGCACATTTACCATCAAACCTTGGGTTGAACCATCAAGAATGGAGGTGTCATATTGTGGTTCAACCATCCTGAAATGGGGGAACCTAAGATCAGATTTTTTTATATACACACCCGAAACTCAAACCTGGTTTGGTAGTGGATCTCTTCATTTCGTCATAGGAAGGGATCAATGAGTGTTTGCAATAGGACGCCCAGTTCTTGAGGGATTTCGATTAAGACATTAGCTTTGGATTCCCGTTATGGGATAGACATTTGAACCCAACAAAAACTAAGATTGAACCCTTGGATCGTTGATATTCCCATTGTCAAGTTCCATGTTCAAAATTAATTTGGAATGTCATCTCCCACGATTTGTAGGGTAAGTAACCACTATGGTTCATGTTCGATGACTGTTCAACCTGTGCGGATAAATATTGGGAGATTAACAATTTTGCCAGAAATCCGGAATATTGTTCCATATTGTTTCGGATGAAAGCTGATCGCTGGTCAGAAGCCCCGATTGGATGCTGGGGTGGACTTAAGATATTCAGCGCTGATGAGGCGCATCATGTGCGGTGCACGCTTGATGGAAGATGGTATCTTACTTCGGCAAATTAGGATCTTGGCACGAAGAAATCGTGAACTCAATGCTTTGGGTATGAGCATACATGCCAGGCCCCAATGGCGGCAGCAAGATGGATGTGGTTTTTTGACTGGGCTCTGTGCCTCACAACGGGCTGGGGAAAAAATCACATGCAATCCGGCAGTCTGCGCGTGCTCGAAAAGCTATGGCGAATTGCACCGGCCCAAAAGACATGAATTTCTTGATCGAAATGTCCCACCTTTGACCCTGACAGGCTGTGCCTAGTGCGTAACTGGGCCAGAGCAGACAATGTCAATATGCTCCTCACTGTCGGTGCGATTCAATCTGGGGCAGCTCGTGAGCAGGGCCAGAATCCTAAGCAGATCGTTTGCCTCAAATGTGCGGCAGTGTCGCAACACTGGAATCATCACTGGACTTCTCTCATGGAAATGAAACCTCCTGATGATTGATGCTTCGCAGAATTTTATGCCCTTGCGGTCCTGAAGGTGTTGGAATGTGCACCAGATTTAGCACATGGATGCATGACCAGCTGGATGCTATGTGAATTTCCTTGTCTGCTTAGCTGCGGGTGAGCACAGGCAAACGACGTTTTCTTTCACACCACCCGTACGATCTTAAGAGCGGGTTGAAAAAATTCAAAGAGGCGCTATGCAATCAAAAATCCATGGCCCAAGGTTTGGTGGGGAGAGGTGGTGTGCATTCCTGAGAGCTCCGGAATGCACCTGCGAGAGCCGCAAGTGACCCCTCTCCTGTATGCAGTGACTTTCTTAAGCGCAGCTACATACCACACTTGACTAATTTCAGCATATTCTGCGTTTTCAGAGGTTTGAGCAGTGGTGGATTTGATAGTGTGACACGAGAGTTGAACAATCATTGGCTTATTACCTCATAAAGTGTTTTGGGTATTGTGACGGATTTTATTTTTGGGGGAATGGTCACCATTCCCAATAAAATCAATAAAACAAAGTCCAAAAATAATGAAAATAAAAAACAAAAACCATGGTATAAGCTTGTCATGCCTATCCAATCCATGTGCTGGTACTATTGGACTATGATAAGCACAATTTAGGATTCCTAGGATGTTTGGCCAATTTTTGGCTCATGCCGTTTTTTCGAGAGCTTTCCAGGTTCAATCCCCCCGATTTTTCACATGCTCCCAACGAGGCCGTGGTACGTAGGATCTGGTCATCAGCTCCATGGTTTGCTCCAAAAACAGCCACCAGGGACACTTCGATGATCTTTTCCTGATCAAAGGTCCCGTGATTTTTTTTTTAGGCATCGCCCAAAAATGCCACGTTTGATGACACACTGAGAATATTCACATTAGGATTGTCCCGGGGTCCCCTCCCAGTGATCTAGAAATGCTGGAGATTTTCCATGTCGTTAATTAACATAGCTGGGTAATAGATTATAACTCGTTATAACTGGTAAACTGTTACAAAAAGCTATCAAAAATCACCCATTTTAAATACATAACCAGCTGGGTAAATCAACGAACTTTCTATGGACCATTTTCAATAGCAAACCGTTTAACAGGGTAATAGATTATTCTGTGCTGGAATTTGATGGGGACACCGTTCATATCAGTTAGGGCCTTATCTCAAATCGTACAACCAGGTGGTGTTCGACACGGGCAGCGGGCATCTAGCAACTCAGATGCACGAGGATATAGACTGCTGGACGAAAAAAGGACGGTTACCCCATGAAACTTTCAAGATGTATTTACATATTATGGGATACTTTACGATTGGGTTTACCAGATTACTGGGCCATACAATGCTATATTGTATATATATATATATTATAATTATATATGGATGAATGAACAAATACTGTAAATCAACAACATTTACTTACAAGAGACAACATGATATATTTGTTTGCTCGGAAATAGGAAGGGTCCCCCAACAAAGGGTCGCTTTTAGCTGGATGATGGGTGCCTGTGATGCACCCCCAAGTTGGGTAGCAGTGCCACAAGTTACATCACTGGCTGAATCATAAGAGGAGCAATTCACCATCTTGAAATGATCGGTCTGGGATAGTTACCTAAAAACATTCACCTCAAGGTTTCTAGTAACATCCATGGGTTGACGTTTTTTTTTTTAGTTTACACCAGATTTACCGTCTGGTAAACTGAGATACCCTCTGGTAATTTAACATAGCCATGGAAAATCACCATTTTTAATGGGTAAATCCACTATTTCTATGGCCATTTTCAATAGCTTTTTGTATGTTGACCAGGCCGGGTAGATATGGAAATCCCAGAGGCTTCGGGAAATGATCAGTAGACCCAGTTGGTTCTCTATCCTGAAACGGGGTGTCCTGTTTGGGGTACACCAAAATCCTATGCTTGTGCAGTTTTTCTAAAAAACTCCCGTTGAAAAAATTTTGAGGTTTTTTTTTCCGCAAGTTTTGGACACACGTATATTCCATTTTTGATTAGTTATGGAGTACATGATCGATTGATGATCGATTTTGATTTACTAATGATATAATTTGGTTGATCGTGGGGTGTAATCTGTGTATATCGTTTTTTTTGGGGTAAATTCCGTTCTCAATCTCAGGCAGGAAGGCGTAAATCAGGGTTAAGCCAGCCTTTTCAGACAAGCCCAAATCAATTTCTTGGTGATATCCCATTGTTTCATATTGTTTCCCTATCAGATCGTTGGTGTGATACCCACAGTATCCACCATTGATACCTTGTAAAAAACTTACCACATCTTACCACGTATTCTTCTTGATTGGGTTGATGAACCATGATATATCTCCATGACATATCCCCATGAAAGTGCTAAAACCAACCAATTTTTTTCATTGACGCTCCACCCATCTGCTCCATCTTCGTCCAGTGTTTTTTTGGTTGAATCCCTGAGTCGGTCAACCACCTACATTGTTGGCTGGTTGAATCGGTTGCTATGTTCTTGGATACCCTCTGGTAAACTAACAGTTTGCTATTGAAAATGGTGATTTATAGTACCCATTGAAAATGGTGGATCTTTCCATAGTTATGTAAACGTTTACCAGAGGGTAGATTCGGATAGATCTCTATGTTTTTGTTGCTTAACCCATTATTATTGCTTAACCCCCATAGTTTTTTGTTTGAACTCCATGATTCCAGATATTTTCTGGCATCTGCTCCAGCCATCTCTGCCAAGTTCAAAAGTTGGACATATCAATAGTTGGGGATGGTCATAAGTGCCCTCTTTAATTTGTTTATAAATATATGTATATAAATACATATGTGTATGTGTATGTATATATATATGTTGGGAATCCCATTCACGATGGGTAACCATTAGCCACCATGGTCAACCTGACCATGGCACATATACATATCATTGGTCATATATTATATAATATAATCTGGTTGGTAGTTTGGAACATGAATTTAATGACTTTCCATTCAGTTGGGAATTTCATACTCCCAACTCACGAACTCCATCATTTTTCAGAGGGGTTGGTTGAAACCACCAACCAGATATAATTAACCATTAATAACCAGTATGAACCACCATTAACCACCATTAATGGTCATTAACCAATTAAGAAAATCCCTGCGAGAAAATCCACCAAATCTTTTCGGCGGCGTCCTCAAGAGAAATCCACCATTTCTTTTTCCCCACAGAAAGTCGTCCCAAGATTTTTTTCCACATCCCCGAAAAGTGTTCCATTCAAATCTATGATATCCGATTGAACTCCAATCCCAAATCTAAGTCCAAGGATATTTTCATATTATCTCCATGAAACTTGATGAAATCTTCCTCTCCATCATGGAAATCCCCTTGAAATCCGTTTGATCTCCCCTGAAAATCACCAATTTTTCATGGAAAATCGTCTTCCAAGCCCGATGACTGCCAGGGTCGAACTGTTAATTTTTCCAGAGGGTAAATCCCATTAGATCCCATTAAATCCTATTAAATCCCATTAAGTTCCAGTAAACCACCATTTTCCTATGGTTTTCCTATGGTTTTCCTATGTTAATTTTACCAGAGGGTACATCCCATTGAAACATGGCCACAGCTGGAGGTGCTACCGTCCATCATGTGCCGCAGCGCCACCTGCCTGAGTCACCGGCGCTACCGCCGGCGCGCCTCATTGGTGTCGTGGCAGCAGAGGATGATGGGAAAGATGATGGGAATATATATATATATGTTTTACATATATATATATTATGTATATATATATATATACAAACCTAAAGATACAGCCACCCCCACAAACACCTCAAAACAGAGCCTACTAAAAGAGTGATGAATTACTTTTCGGCATTTTTGATCGGTTCCTATATATACACATATTTATTCGTTTGGAGATTGTCATACCACCATTAAGAGGGATTTATATAACCATTGTAAGGATTTCCATTTTGGGATGATGGATGGATGACCATAGAGAAATACGTGATGATTTGACCCTAGCACACATGCCAAATTGGGATGTAATACTAATACGGTACCCGGCCTGGTAAACATACAAAAAGCTATTGAAAATGGCCATTTATAGTGAGTTTTCCCATTAAAAATTGTGATTTTCCATAGTTATGTTAGTTTACCAGAGGGTAATAGGAATATACCCCCCAATGTTTCTCATGGCAGTTTGAGCACGTTTTTTTTCTGTCAAAGACTGCAAACATGATGGTACCCTAAAATGGTTTGTTAATGGATGGATGTTCGCCCAAATGTGATAGTAAAAGGCTTTGGCCTATCCCAATATTAGTAGGGAAAATGGTGATGAACCATGGTTTGATCGAATGTACCATATTTCCGAACAAACCCATGTAGTGATAAAATACGATAAAAAACATAATGACACAGTGATGCTATAATGATGAGATGACGATAACATGATGATAACACGATGATATGATGATGATGATGATGATGATGATGATGATGATAATGAATAATAAGAACATGATGATGAGAGCGATCTAGTGGGATATGGTGGGGCATAATGGGATGGGATATGTATACAGTATACTGAGTATACTGTATATATTATGTATATATATATATATCTATTTAGTATGTATATATTATATGTATATATTATATGTATATATTATATGTATATATTATATGTATGTATTATATGTATATATATATATTATATGTATATATATTATATGTATATATTATATGTATATACTATATATATATTATGTATATATATATATTATATGTATAAATATTATATGTATATATTATATATATATATACATATACACACATACGTACATACAGGCTATCATCGTCAATGAACATGGTCGACAGCCCGATTTATCCACCACTTGGCAACGGCTCCAAGAATTGGATGCTACCCTCCGGTGTCATCAAACACAGCTTGAAGATCCTCTCTAAATGGAGGTTTTTAGTGGAACAATTCACTATAAATGGTTCATTTTCAATTGACCATCTACCCTCTGGTAAACTATGGAAAATCACCATTCTCAATGGGTAATTCCACTATAAATCACCATTTTGAATTGCCATGTTTGATTGCCAGAGGGTAAAAACACTGATTTCCCGTGCATTTTACCTTCAATCCATTGATGATAGTTCAACCGCTCCATGAATGACCGACACAAATGGGGCAACCACACCTATCCTTATGACTTTATACCAGCTACAGCTAGGTACCCAAAAATATATGTTGGAATGCATCTTGGATGCATGTTGGGAATGCATGTGGATTCATTTAAAAAATGCATATTGGAAATGCATGTGGCACCACAGGGCCATATGAAATTGCATATAGGTCCTATCCACTCGCGATGGATGATCCAAATACCCCAGTTCCATCACAGCCACCGGCTTGTTGATCTTGTTGATTCCAGATCCGTGTAGGTGAACAACACTTCAATGAACTAAACACAGCGCCTGTGCAGGTGGCCAAAGACATTGATGTAGATGGCACCCCGGTGATGCCCAACCAGGCGGGAAAGTCAGCCCTTAAAATGGAGGCCATTTTTTGGACCATCTACCCGGCCTGGTAAACATCGAAAAAACTATGGAAAATCACCATTTTCAATGGGTAAATCCACTATGAATCACTATTTTCAATAGCAAACTGTTAACTTACCAGAGGGTAAGCCAACTGTTTGGCCATATTTTCTGGGCATATTTATTGATATTCATTGATTAATGGATTGGCTTGCCATGATATGAGGTTGAGCTCTTTTTGGGATTAGACATAGATTGAGTTTAACCAACGACTCCAAAGAGGCCACCGTTTGATTTTTTGAATCGATCGTATTTTTCTTTGGGCTATGACGGCCATCCCCTTTTAAAGGGTTTGTTCAACAGCGACGTCTCACTGCTGACCTTGGCTCAAGTGGATTTGGATTCGGCGAATCCGAGCACCACCACTTTGGTCATCTTGTCCTTGAAGGACACGCTGAAGTTTTTTTTTCTGAGTGGGGATGTTTCTTCTGGAGATGCGATTTGTGGTCGTTTTATATATAAGTTGGGTGAAATTGGATGGTCAGAAGCTCCAGTTTGATGGCTGCTTGGTGCTTTCCAGGTGGCCCCACTGCCCGGAAAATATGGAATACCCCTCAAAGGATACCCTCTGGTAATTTAACGTAGCTATTGAAAATGGCCATTTATAGTGGATTTTCCCATTGAAAATTGTGATTTTCCATAGTTATGTTAGTTTACCAGAGGGTACCCTGGTTTAGTATTGCATCATTCCGTTCTTGTGCTGAAGAGTTTTCGTAGCCGTAAAACGCGAGCAGGGAAAAGGGTCCAACTTTAAGTCTCAAGGTCCTTAGCATCATTTTTGTGAACAGCAAATGTGACAACCGGCTGAGGTATTGTTTTAACCTGAGTTAACCAGCGTTATGGCTGGCAATTTTGGGGGCTTGTTGGCTTGTAGTTTTGGTGTAGTGTTTGCTGAGTGGCAAATTTTCCGCATCGCTTCAAGCGAGGCCTATGAGCCAAAGTCGCTTGAAGGGTGCTGCGAATTTTTTTATCTGGACTAATGTTGGTCAAGCAATCATGAACCCCCAAAATCACCATGAATGGCTTCAATATTTTTGGGTGGTGAAAAAACTTGCTTTACTATTTTTTTCATGAAGTATCACCATTGCTGCAAAATGGAACCCCGACATAAATCAACCTGTGACTTTAGGTAAAATCGCTTGGGTGACACAAGTTGGGTGACATGTTTTAGCTGGCAGAAGTTTTACCATCCCACAGAATGCAGACTTTTTGCACATTGACATCATATTGCCTTGTGCATGTATGGGGGTGAGGTCCCCCAACCTCCACTGTATCGGAGACCCGAGATTGAACTGGATGAAACTGGCATTTCGCTATTGAAAATGGCAATTTATAGTGGATTTTCCCATTGAAAATGATGATTTTCTATAGTTATGTTAGTTTACCAGAGGGTACCCTGGTTTAGTATGCACATAATCATGCGGACAGTAATAATTCGGACAGAATGTTTTGCTTCAGAAGGATACATAGATTCACATAGATTTGGATAGATTACAACGACCTCACTGCAACGTCACTGGAATGATGGTTCCAATTTTTCCAAATAAGTGGAATGGTCCAACTACTTCCGAGTTTCGGATGATCTTTCCATTTATATTCCCATGATATCCCAATAAAGGAAAAGTTATAAGTCAAACAATGTAAGCAAAAGCCATGACTTCTCCGACCTATCCCGTTCTTTTTTTGCCAGGACGAGTTCAATGAAGTTGAGTTTCTCCATCGGCACCACGCTCGGTGCCCTTTTAAACGCACTGGGTGCCTTTGGCCTGAAGACGGAGAGTGCAGCGCTTCCAGATTGCACTGGCAGCAAGGAGATTGGGGGGAAATCACCACGAAGTGCCATGGAGATCCATAGTAATCAACTTCGCTGCCAAACAAAAAGGCTGGTCACATCCATAGTATATAATCCCATCCTATGAAAAACACGAACCCATTCTATGGTTCCAAAGATGTGGAAATATCCCCAACAAAAAACCATGGTTCCGTTGAACGGGGGTGTTAAAAAAATGAACGGCGGAAGTCGATCCCTGCGGTTGACACGACTTCATCAGAGGGATCCCGGTTCTCCAACGATTGTTCGTGGCTGGAAAGTATCCACCATTTAAGGCAGTGTGTCAAAACCAATAGTACCCCTGTAGTTCACATCAAAATAGCTGGGATTTATGGATGTTCATCCCCCTAAAAATGGTATTAATAGGTATTGATCCATACCCATTTATTGATTTTCTTAATGTTTGAGGACACAAAGGAGGGTATTTTGTGGCAAACATTTTCCATTCTGCAGCACCGACTGGAGGAGTTGCTACCGACTGGAGGGGATTCTTGGGGTTGTGACAAGTTCAATAACCGCCGCGCCGAATGCGCCAGACACTACCAGAAGTATGACACGGGCCATTTCCAATGCGTGACACACAATGCAGGCAGGGCGAGCCAAAAAGAATGACATTAGTACGATGCCTCAGTTCATTTTTCGCTTGCGAAACTCTTGATTAAAGAACAAAGATGGTGGTGTCACCCAGTTTTTTTATGGCTGATGCTTGGAGATGGGGAGGTGCAGCATGAACCAGTATACGACTGGTTGGTTGATGCAGCCCTCTATTTTTCTCAGAGGTTCTGGTTTGTGGGGGTATGTTTCTTGGGTTCATAGGGAGCTTTCCAATGCACCAGTAGCATCCAGTAGCTGCACAAGAAAGTTGAAACCCTGCACAGGGGGAGGCCGGCGGAATTGCCTCACAGGACACAAGTGCAAGAAACCTAGACATAGTCGTGTAGAGCTTGATTTGGTGGGGCAAGGTCATTGTGCTTCCGGCCAAATCTATGCCAGCCACGCATGGGAACTCGCACCTAGCTCAGTGGGCACAAAAGGCTTTCACACTGACATCTACAAGGATTGGCTGCAGGCAGCTTGGGCAAAGTGCTTGGCAAAAAACGCAAACACAAAGTTCGTGAGTGTTTGGATTGATGCTGGCTACAGATGCTACACAGGAACAACTTGCAACGCCAACGGTGGACGGCACACCAAATCATGGGCACCTGTCCAGATGGCTGCTCTTGGGCAAGGTCATTGTGCTTCGGGCCAAATCTATGCCAGCCACGCATGGGAACTCGCACCTAGCTCAGTGGGCACAAAAGGCTTTCACACTGACATCTACAAGGATTGGCTGCAGGCAGCTTGGGCAAAGTGCTTGGCAAAAAATGCAAACACAAAGTTCGTGAGTGTTTGGGTTGATGCTGGCTACAGATGCTACACAGGAACAACTTGCAACGCCAACGGTGGACGGCACACCAAATCATGGGCACCTGTCCAGATGGCTGCTCTTGGGCAAGGTCATTGTGCTTCCGGCCAAATCTATGCCAGCCACGCATGGGAACTCGCACCTAGCTCAGTGGGCACAAAAGGCTTTCACACTGACATCTACAAGGATTGGCTGCAGGCAGCTTGGGCAAAGTGCTTGGCAAAAGACGCAAACACAAAGTTTGTGAGTGTTTGGGTTGATGCTGGCTACAGATGCTACACAGGAACAACTTGCAACGCCAACGGTGGACGGCACACCAAATCATGGGCACCTGTCCAGATGGCTGCTGTTGGGCAAGGTCATTGTGCTTCCGGCCAAATCTATGCCAGCCACGCATGGGAACTCGCACCTAGCTCAGTGGGCACAAAAGGCTTTGACACTGGCATCTACAAGGATTGGCTGCAAGCAGCTTGGGCAAAGTGCTTGGCAAAAAACGCAAACACAAAGTTCGTGAGTGTTTGGGTTGATGCTGGCTACAGATGCTACACAGGAACAACTTGCAACGCCAACGGTGGACGGCACACCAAATCATGGGCACCTGTCTAGTGAGAGCCTTGTGAGCAGAAGCACTCAGCCCTCATGTGGGGATGAGGTAGCTCTGCCATGGACATTGGCCCCTGTCGCGATGAAATCAAAAGGTCCAACATAGTGATATGCTTCTCATTGGGTGGTTTCTCTTCATGGGGACCTCCAAAAGAATGGATATCCTTGCTAAAGATGACCGACTGCTTGCTTTTTAGGAAAACCATGGGAAAAAACCAATTTCCGGGAATGATTATTACTGTAGGTCTCGAAGCAGCCGACCTAGCCGACCTCCCGACCTACTTACTGATGGATGGTGCGTTGCGGAGTTGCCTGAAATGGGACAACATTTACTATCCAGAGGTTAGGAGGGAGCTAAGGAGTGTAAGGAGCTAGAAGTTCTAGATCCTAAGCATTGACATGTTCAATGGCCGTTTCAGGCTTTTTTCACCAGAACAACTGTAGCAGTGAAATGCATATAAATCTATCCATATAAACTCCACATTTTGGAAAAATCTCCCCAGCAACTTCCCCGGTTAAAAAACAGACCCCCTCAGGCACGGGACCAGATTACGGTCTCCTATGGCACCGGTGAAATCACCGGGATCTTCGTGTGACTCGAAATAAAAAAACCGTTGGGAAATCTGCCGAGTTTTTGGGGGGTCAAATCGGGGGCCCCCAACGAATTAGATGCTGAATACGATGGTGAAGACGAAAAATAGGCTAAATTTTTTCTATGGTTTTTCTTGCTGAAATTTTCGGAGGACCTATTTTTCTGGCAGAAAATGAGATCAACTTAAACTCAAGTGGATCTGAAACCATGCCAGAAAATCCCCCATTAAGATTGATCATTGAGCTTGGGGATGAACATTCAGCAACAGGAGATCATGCGAATCGTTTTTTTGTTTATGTGATCCATGAATCTAAGCCATGTGAAGTGAAAGGGCCCTAGGATCCCTAGGGCTTGACCACCGGGTTTGTCAATGGGTACCGCAGAATGTCCAACAAAAAATGGTGAAACGCGGCTTTACTCTCCAGAAAAAACTGAAATAGCTGCTTGACGATGGCCCCTTTATAGTTGATTTACATTCTAAAATTAGTGATTTTACATAGTCAAGTGTTGGTTCACCAGAGGTAGACCAGTTTTTTTTTTCCCCAAGATGTTCAGACAAAGCCGTGGTCTCAAAGTGATACCTGTCTCGCTGGTTAGTCTTGTGCCATGAGGCAAGACAAGGTATGCCTAGGCCCCAAGGTGCGCCGCTGGTTTGATTTAGTGGAATTTCCATGGGTTGATTTGGGTGAATTTAAACATCCCTGTACAAGCATATATATATATATAATACACACATATATATATATATAATACATATCTATATATAATACAAATATCTATAATATATATATATATCTATGTATATGTATTATCACATATATACATATATGATATGCACATATATATATATGCATATATATACATTAATATATATATATATATATATCTATATTAATATATATATATATGCAATATATAGGGGAAACACACAAGTTGTTTACACCACAAAAAGCATCGATTTTCTGCGTCCAACTACTTAAGAAGAGTTTTTTTAGGTGAACTCCAGATTTTTGCTGGTGAAAATCACAAAAATCGTGACGGTAAATTGAACCTGTTCGGATGTTAAATCAATATTTTCATGGTTCAAGCCACATTTTGTATGGTATCCGCATCTTAAATCCACGTTGTATAAATCAACCAACCGTTTTGATGCTTAAATCATCATTTTTGCCCGAGTTTTTTTGAAAGTGAAGTACGGTACTTTTTTTTCTTCCTGGTTAGATTCAAGTTTTTACTGGTAAAGTCAAGATGTTTGATAGTAAAAAACAACATGTGCTTGTCAAATCCATATATGTTTGATGGTAACACCATTCTTTTTGCTGGTAAACATCCACATCCTTGCGGCAAAAATCCCCACATTTTTCATGGTTGAATCCCTTGTGCTAGGCACCTGCGCCGGCGCAGAAGGGCCGCGTGGCAGGCAGTGCGGCGGGAGCATCGCTGTTGCAGTTCCTCGGTGAAATTCACGGGATCGAGACCGCTAAGACTAGCTCCAAGAACATTCACTTGGAGGTTTCATAAGTCATTGGGGTTTCCTCAAATGGGTATGGGTCAAAATTAGGTACCCCAGTAATTGGATGGTTAATACTAAACTAGACATTCACACCTGTGGTCCCACATCGGTCTTCCATTTTGACCCACATCCAAATCATCATCCCATGAAAAAATCGAATATCCCAAGTCATGGATGATTTTTCATGGGGGTTTCATGGAGGTTTCCCTATGTTCTTTTGGGATTTCCCATGAAAAACTCCTCCATCTATTGGGGGTACCCAGGCTCGACCGAGCCCGGATGCAAAGTGCCGCAGAGCTGGTGGAAGATGATGAGGACGGTTGACAATGGTAGGAACTACGAGGTGGTGCACCACTGATATATATATATATACATATATACACATATATACATATACATATGTATATATATATACATATATATATACACATACATATATATATATACATATATATATATACACATACATATATATATATATACATATATATATACATATATACATATATATATATACATATACATATATATATATACATACACATATATATACATATATATATACATACACATATATATATACATATATATATACACATATATATATACATATATATACACATTTTTTCCAAGAGGCACAAAGGAGCTTCGCGCTGCGGCCTGTCTCAGGTTCAGTGAACTCGAAAAACAAAATCCGACCAGCTATCTTTGTATATAGTCAGCTCCAATGCTCTCACCATATGCAGTGACGTACATGCGTTTGCATGTGTCTAAGAAATCTGCAGGTGGTTCAGGTGCTCCATTGATGACCGGTCGGTCACAAGTGGCCTGAAAAAGAGCATGAGCTACTGCTTTGCACATCGCTAGCGGATACTCCTTCAACACAGCCGTGTTCCAGTTGCCAGATTGGTCCTTGCCAATCCTAGCAGCCCTGGGGATATCACATCTTACCCGATTGGCATGGAGACACGACAAAAGCTGTGGAAGGCTCAGGAGGAGAAGATGGGTGGGCTTGTGCGATTTCGCACCCATCAGTCCCTGGGAAAATCGGAGCAATTCAATGGTCGCAAGTTGCATGATGGCCTTGACGAGCGGGAGCCTCCAGATCGAAGCCGCGTGGGGAAGATCTTCTGGCTCGGCTGGGTGTTCAACCATGCCTTGTCCGTCAGCAAGTGCCATTTCCAGGAGCGCCAAAAGCGTAAATCCAAGCAATGCATTTCCAACTTGAAGTTGCTCAAGCTCACGGATGGTGACGCAATCCAGCCCCCACAGGTGCTGGATATCGCGTATGATACGCCGTCCGCATCGCTGCACCAAAACAGTGAACTCTGACGCGCCATGTAGTGGGACTCCCCTGGCTCTCGACCAGGATTCGCACGGAGGTCCTGCAAGCATTGCAATGATGTAGCCACTCCTGATGGAGTTCAACCAAAAATCGCAAGTGTCTGCGCGCATGGCGTCACCGTAGATCTTGTCAATCACGATGTCGAGGGAAACGATGTGCAAATAAAATTGGGTCTGACTGCTAGACAGCCTGTCCAGATAGTACTGCACGTCCCCTCTTCTGCGTCTGCCAGAATACAAATGCAAAATCACTCTGTGTCTTCCCAATGGCCTTGGAACAACAGTAAGAGCTCCTTGCGCAAGATGTCGCCCACTTGATCGCAATGATCCTCCAGTGTTGCCAAATCTGCGTCTCTACTGTGGTCCACCAAATCTTGTTGCAGAAAGGGCCATTGCTCAGGACCAGCCTGTCTGCGCAAAAGCTGTTTGATCGTCTCCACGTCAATGTGCAGGATCGCGTTGTCCACCGGGGTCAGCGTGTCCTCGAGGAAGATCAATGTGCTTCGCAAACGTGTCCATGAGATAGCACGATCTGATATGATGTCCGCCATGGAGGTGTAGAGGTCATGGATTGCATGTGCATCTGCTATCAGGTCAATCAATTTGTCATAGAGCTCTTCATCAATGTCAATATATATATATATATATATAAATATATACATACATATAGCACATACATACATACATGCATACATACATACATACATACATACATGCATACATGCATGCATATTACATTTATATATATACACATACACACATGCACACACATACATACATACATACGTACGTACGTACGTACATACATACATAGATACATAGATACATAGATACATAGATACATAGATACATAGATACATAGATACATAGATACATAGATACATAGATACATAGATACATAGATACATGGATACATAGATACATGGATACATACATACATACATACATACACATATGGAGGTTTCCTAAAATAGGGGTACCCCCCCAGTCATCATCAATTTTTAGATTGGATTTTCCATGAAATAAACCATCTGGTTTGATCTATAAGCTGGGTACCATTTATGGAAAGCCTCACTTATAAGCTGGGTTTATAAGCCCCATATGTAATATATATGTACCATAACACCCTAGTTATTGAAGTTATAAACCAACTTAGCAAACAAGGTTGGGCACAACCTTGTATGAAATTCATGGAGGGGTAATCAACAAACATAGCGATTTACGATGGTAAATGGAAACAAAAGGAGCAAAAAGGGTGGTAAAATGAAGGTGAGTAATGTTAGGTGGGGATTTGATAGGGATATATATATATAACGTACCACAACGGGGATGTAATTGGGATATACTGGGATGTAACCAACCATACAATGAAGAAACAATGGGATATAACCAGCCAGAACCAAGCGGATCCTAAATGGGGATAGAATAGGATTTGTAGCCAACCATGTAATAATCATAAGGACACCTCGGCGGAGGATAGTTGGATGATAAAATATATTGCCACGATAGTACCAAGGCTAGGTGTCTCATTGGAATTGTTTCAAACATAGATCTTGCGCTGTTTGGAGCCAGGGATAGAGTAAAGATCCCGAGTAAATTGGGAAAGAGCTCCAAAACCACCGGGTAGTTCTCATGGCGAAGAATGTGCGGCCACATCGGGACTTTCAATACGAAGCTGGTAAAAGGTGGTTGGGGGATGGTCGATCCCCATGAAACTTTCAAGGGGTTCATAATTGTTAGCACTGTAGGTCGTATCTATCTATCTATCTATCTATTTGTTTATTTATCTATTTACCTACCTATCTATCCATCTATCTATTTATTTACCTACCTACCTACCTACCTACCTACCTAATCTATCTATCGATCTATCTATCTATTTATCTATTTACCCACCTATCTATCTATCTATCTATCTATTTATTTACCTATCTATCTCTCTATCTATCTATCTATCTATTTATCTATTTACCTACATATCTTTCTATCTATCTATCTATCTATCTATCTGTTTACCTGCCTACCTACCTAACCTATTTATTTATTTACCTACCTACCTACCTACCTAATCTATCTATTCATCTATCTATTTATCCATTTACCTACCTATCTATCTATCTATCTATCTATTGATTTATTCACCTACCTACCTACCTACCTACCTAATCTATTTATCTATTTATCTATTTATCTATTCACCTATTTACCTATTTATCTATTTATCTATTTATCTATTTACCTACCTACCTGCCTACCTACCTATCTATCTATCTATCTATCTGTTTACCTACCTACCTACCTAATCTATTTATTTATTTACCTACCTACCTACCTAATCTATCTATTCATCTATCTTTTCATCCATTTGCCTACCTATCTATCTGTCTATTTATTTATTCACCTACCTACCTACCTACCTACCTAATCTATCTATCTATCTACCTATCTATCTATCTTTTTATTTATTTACCTTCCTATCTTTCTATCTATTTATCTTTTTACCTACCTATCAACCTATCTATTTATTTATTTACCTACCTACCTAATGGATCTACCTATCTATCTATCTATTTATCTATTTACCTACCTACCTACCTATCTATCTATCTATCTATTTATTTTTTTTAAATTTACCTTCCTACCTAATCTATCTATCTATCTATCTACCTATCTATTTGTAAATATGCATATATGTATATATGTATTTATGGATATATATATATTTATATACACATATACATATATGTATGTATATATATATATACATGTATGTATATATATATATCTATATATATATATAGATGTACATATACAATGGTTGATAATTAGCTACTAGTCATGAACAAATCATGCATTAACTGTAGTTACCATAATTGCTCAGAGGGATTTCTTTGGCAGCAGCCATGGTTTGAAGAAGTTGCTGCCCATAGGAACTACATACACAACTTACACTATACAATAATAGATGCAATATATATAAATATGTACAATGTACATACAATATCAATACATAAATATATATATATATACACACATACACTATATATACACATACTATATATATATGTATATACATATACATACAATACATATATACAAATATATATGCATACACTATACATATATATGTATATATGTATATATACAATATATATATACATACAAGATATATATATACATACAATTTATATACACATACAATGTATGTATATATATATACAATATTTATATGCAATATATGTATATATACACATACAATATATATATATATATACACAATATATATATATATACATACAAGATATATATATACATGCACATCTATACACACATACAATTTATATACACATACAATATATATATAAACATACAATGATTCAATGTGTATATATATATATGCATACAATATATATATATATATACATACATACATACATACATATGTGCATATATATATACTATGTGCGATCACAGATACTCACCCACAACCACCATAATCAAACATTGCCACTGAACATCTCCGAACAAATATGTTATCCAATTAGCCATTATATGGGTATTATACAACCATAAGCCACATTATGAGTTGATTCTACTAGTCGTGATATACTTGACCTTATATCTATCATACCCATAGGTGATAATAATACCCGACGCTATAAGCTAATACTGCAGTGTTTACACCCATAGTTAATTATATTAATAATAGTTAACTATAGTTAATATACCCAGTAGTATATTGGTATTAACGATAGTTAATAAGAGTTAATTCTATGAATGCTTAATGCCCATCTGTCACCCATCATCCCATCATACCGTCCTTGCACCAGGACGACGAGGCCCGCCCCAAAGGTGTGGACCACGGCTGTGTGGACCTCCGTCTGGTCTCGGCCACCGAGATGACGGATGATCCGTAGCCTGGCCGAGATGGGTTGGTTTGTTGTACTGCAACACAAACCAGAGGAAATCTACCCTGTGGTAAACTGTTACAGTTTGCCATGGAAAATCACCATCATAAATAGGTTTTTATCAACTAGAGGTGGGTGTGTCAATGAAGAAGTGGAATTAGAATAGTGACCAGAGGCTAAGAAGGTTTTTAGCTGTTGGATGCTTGTGAGTATTTTTTCAAGTTGGACTTAGAAACACTTGGCAGGTCTCCTTGGTATTAGACATTTCCAATAGAAAATGGAGAGACGACATAGAAAAACCCTGCAAGTCGATGCCTGACGGGACGTAACATCCGGTGCTTGATAGGATCCATCCAAGTATTCATGGGAAACCATCTACAATTCGAGAAATTCCATGAAATTGAAGCTCCGGTGTCATCAAACATGGCAACTGGAAATCCCAAAATAAATGGAGGTTTATAGCTAGGAAAATCATCGAACTAAATGGTGTTTTTTCCATTAAAATGCTGGATTTTCCGGAGGGTAACTGACGTCTCCAGAGTGGACCTGGCCCAAGATCCTGCCTGTACGCATGGTTAAGTCATGATGAAGGTCTCCCAAAGCACCAACTGAGGTCCAAAATGAGGACCATGAAGTACTCACATATATATATATTATATTATATTATATTATATTATATTATATTAATATTTATATTTATATTTATATTATATTATATTATTTTATATTATTTTATTTTATTTTATATTATTTTATATTTATATTTATATTTATAATTATATTATATTATATTATATTATATTATATTTAAATTTAAATTTATATTTATATTTATATTTATATTTATATTTATATTATATTATATTATATTATATTACATTATATATACAATATCTATACCTGTCGGACCCCCAGTGATTTCTTCAGCGCTTCGGCTTGAGGTTTTCGAGCTTCCGCTTCGATGGCGTGCTGGGGCTGGGTCTGCCCAGCTTGTCCCAGACGATGGAGTTCAACTTCCTGGAGGACATGTGGGACATGTGGGACCCATATCAACAGCGAAAAACATTTCGGTGAGGTGCCCTAGATAACTTGATCAACTAGGATTTATGGGGGATTTTTCTGGAGTTCATGGGTTTATAGACCAAGGAACAACATTTTTAGGGGGGCCTCACCTTGTAGATGATTCGCGAGGTGGTGATTTTTTATGGCATGATTCTACGTTACCCACATTCCCAGGAATAGCTACAATGTGGTGGGTTTTCTCAGTTGTGCTTGTTTTTTGTACCCACATGAAAACCAATCGTGAAGGGGCAGGCCCCTCGTACCAATCATAAGTGGTGAACGTGGGACGGTGAGTTAATAATAGTGGTCTATGACCCATATATAGATATATACATAATATATGTATATGTACATATCTGCATTTCTGGGAATATTATATTTGCAGAAGGCTCCTTAGAATCTGTGACCAATTTTCCATATACATATCCAATATCTCTATATATATATATAAATACATACATATGTAGTACCGCAGTGCAGCCCATTTTTTCACTGGGGACATTCCACTCATCGATTCCTGGGATGCATGTCCTTGTGGTGAACTAGGAATCGGATTCATCGTAAGTAGACGTAGGGTATAAGTAGGCTTAACTATGGTTTATGGTAGATATAACGAACTAGTTAATGGGGATTATAATGGTTTATAAACCAACAAACATCACTGGGGAGCCCTATCCTGTAGGGTATAAGTAGGCTTAATCCAGTAATACAGTAGAGGAATTAAGTTGTTCTGCGGCTGATTGCTATGGACAATTATAACATCTTATAATAGGAACATATTATATACTACAATAGGGATACCCGTGAAAAATGGGTAGATTACCCTTTGGAAAACTAACAGTTTGCTATTGAAAATGGCCATAAAAAGTTCGTTTTACCCATTGAACATGGTGATGTTCCACAGTTATGTTAGTTTACCACTAGTCAATGGGTGTAAAACAATGTCATAACTCACCCATGACTGGGAATGGTAACCATACCACCCATTTAAATGGTGATGACTCGGGGGGTGGCTTATGGCATTTTACCAATAAATTCCCTAGGAATTTTCAAATCACGCCAGGTCTAAGTAGAGTAAATAGGCTTAATCCAGTACTGGAGGTACCCCTTTATCGCTGGATGGTTTATTTTTCCAGGAAACATCCTTTTTACATACCAAATGGAAAATCCACCATTTTTTATAGGTAAATCAACCATTTCTATGGCCATTTTCAATAGCTATGCAACAAATTACCAGAGGGTATATCCCATTTATGTGTGGGATAAGTAGGGATATAATCCACTTATAACTGGGATCTAATCCACTTATTAAGTGGTACCACTACCATCATTTTCCACCATCTTTTTGGAGGGTAGCCCTATTTTAGGATCTGTTGAGTTGCCAATGGAGGGCCCAAATTCGCCCCATTCATAACTTGAGGGTGCGGGCCCCACTTAGTCCCTCTGGTTATTTAACATAGCCATGGAAACCTATAAAAAATGGTGATTTTCCATGGCCATGTTAAACAACCAGATGGTAAATGGGTTATAGCCCTAGTTGTACATGGAGTATCCCCAGAAAAAAATGGCTAAGATCAATGGGTGAAAAAAACCACGGATCCGATTCGTGGGTTCCAAAAAAGACAGACCCCCGGAAGGCCGAATGATGATGACCTTGGCTGGGAGGGCAGTGTTTGTCATGGATGATGGATTGCCTAGATTTACCCTCTGGTACACATACAAAAAACTATGGAAAATCACCATTTTTAATAGGTAAATCAATTATTTCTATGGGTGATTTTCTGTAGCTATGTAACAAATTACCAGATGGTAGTAGGCTTCTAGGCTACCGGGTTCGTGGAGAGCACATGTAATATCCAGCGTAAAATGACTTTGCCTATCCCTGCATTGTGTCCACAGCGTTCAATCCTATTTTTCTTGACCTTCAAACACCATTTTTGATGCTTCAGTCGTTCCATGTTTATTTTATGGTTCAGTCCTTATTTTTGTTCGTAAGAATCCAATTGTGACACTTAAATCCCCATTTCTGAAACTGATGTGCAACATAGCGTTGGGTTTCTTGGTAATTTCGAGATGCACTCATTTTTGTTGATTCACTTGATTCACTTCCTTTTTTTTCGTACAAAAAAACACATCGAAAAAATGGTGGTTGAATCCCCATGATTCTTGTTTAAATCTCCATTTTTCTATAGCTTTCCTATGGTCCTATGGTTTCTTATGATTTTCCATGGTTTCGATGTTTTGAGCTGTTCATTTGATGAATTTGGCAGGCATCCTCTGGTGCCCGTGCCTGGACAAGCTTGGTACCTGACGGGGAGCGCCCGTGCGATTTGGCGAGGGACGGGCAGTGCCCATCAGTGTTATTAATGTAAATCTATGTGATTTGTACTAGGTGTTTATATATACGTATAGATATTTTAAGCGGATTTTTTGTTGGGAGATATTTCTTGGAAGGGACTTTTCAAAGATGGTGATGTTGGGGAGATGTTTCTTGGAATTTCGTGGCAATGTCGTGCCCCTCAGTTTTGTTTGTGTGTTTATAACCATCATTAACTAGCTCGAACAAGATGATCTCTGGGTTTTTGGGAAATTGGCGGATGGGCACCGAATTTATTGCCTTATTCATGGGAATGATGATGACAAGAGATTGGGGAAGGGCATCGCTGGATGGCTCGTTTATGGATCCTTTTCTTTTTCCCAGTGAAACATCATAGTTTCCTTTGATCTACCAAAAAACCATTCACTGCCATCTATGTCGAATAAAAAACTGATGGATATGGAAATTCATCATCATAATATCTGTCAGTTATCCTCTGGTAATTTAACATAGCTATTGAAAATGACCATTTATAGTGGATTTTCCCATTGAAAATGGTGATTTCCCATAGTTATGTTAGTTTACCAGAGGGTATCCATGATAAAAATATGAACTTTCTGTCATGGCCCAGTTGTCACGGCTCCACAGAATCTTCTCCGCAGGAGCGGATGTTTGGTGTCTTCCTGGCCAAGTCAGCAGAGGTGACACGGACCAGCCAGCAATTTTCGCGAGCCCAACCGGCTCTCTGGTTGTGTAAAAAAAGGGGCCCTACGGATCTTTAGTTTGTTGAAGTTTGTTATCTTTAGGTTTCTTAGATTTTCAAACAGTTTGTTGATGTTTGTTGATATATCCACTGTTTGTGCGAAAAAAACCATCCCCAATGGTAGCTATATTATGGGTTTACCACATTATATATATATATATGTTGCAAAGCTGCATTCATGAAATTCAATGATGTGCGCGAGAGAAGTGCTTTCACTCCCTAGATCCTGCAGACTGCTGATTCTATCTTTAGCCAACATCAATGTGGGTATATAGGGGTTTCCATAAATGGGGGTACCCAAAATGGATGGTTTATTTCATGGAAAATCGTATTAAAATGGATAATTTGGGGCTACCCCCATTTCAGGAAACCTCCATATATATATATATAGACTGTATAGATATGTAAGTACACAAATGATAATGTTTGTATTTGTTATTTGTTACATATTGTTACATATACATAGACGAACACATTCATTATATGTAATGTGGTAAAACCAATATTGAACCATCCCCAAAATCAACATAAATGGGTGCCATAAACCATCACCAAATGGTAGGTCCATTATTGGGGTTCCCGCATTATATATAAATTCGTATACCCTCTGATTATTAAACATAGCTATGGACCATGGACCCTTTATAGATGATGTATGATCATTTACCTTAAAAAAAGGTGATTTTCCAATTCGGAACGTTCAATAGCCAGAGGGTATATTTGCAACAATGAACATTATCTATATCTATACATCTATACATCTATACATCTATACATCTATACATCTATACATATATACATATATATATCTATATCTATATCTATATATTATATCTATATCTCTATATATCTCTATACATATTTATATATATGTATACATGTATATCTATATCTATATCCATTGATACCTATATCTATATCTGTATGTATCTCTATATGTATATCTATATGTCTATTTGTATATCTATATGTATATCTACATGTATCTCTATATGTATCTCTATATCTGTATGTATCTCCATATGTATCTCTCTATGCATCTCTATATGTCTATCTATATGTATATCTATATGTATATCTATCTATCTATCTATCTATCTATCCATCCATCTATCAATCTATCTATCAATCAATCAATCTATCTATCTATCTATCTATCTTCCTATCCTTTCCTTTCCTTTCCTATCCTATCCTATCCTATCCTATCTATCAATCTATCTCTCTATCTCTATCTCTATATCTATACACGGATTGTTTTTTGAAAACCCCACGGCGGTAGGAGGACAGCGAGATTACCTTTGGTGGTTGGAAGAGTCACCTGGCGAAGCGTAAAACCATTTGTGGTGGCGTCATTTCTTGGGGTTCGGGAATTATTTTGCCTAGACATGTATATATATATATAATGATACCCATCAGCATTTAAGCTTTACCCTCTGACTTGAGATTTAGTTGTAATTGACAAAGGTTGGCTGAAGTTCACTTGTAGTTGGTACATGGGGTGTAGCCAATGAAAAACATATGCAGTGACATGACATGTGAGTATAACAAAAAATATATAGCATTTGATTCTTCTATTCTAGCTGGACGTATTTTTTTTTCCTTGGTGACTATGGATGGTGGCAAGAAACCAAAAGAGAGGTTCTAGGTTGAACGCCTATCTTACCCTCTGGTTTTTTTTCACATAACTATGGAACATCACCATAGAAATCGTGAATTTTCGTAGGAAAAATAAAAATTTACCATAGTTTTTTGTATGTTTACCAGAGGGTAATGGATTGTTACTGAATCCCCATATTATTAGTGTTCACCAAATCAACCCATCTTCTCCCAGCAGGGATGCAACGGAATCAACGAAAGAATTGTACGCATTTTGTACGCATTGCGACAGGAGGAAACACGGTTTTTGTACTTCATTTCTAAAAATGGGGATTC